CCCAAAGTGTGAGAAAGCAATCGTATCTGTTATTGATGACTTAATTAACCAAGAAACAAATGATGACAAAGGATCTACGGTTATATTTTGCTGGTCAACCTTTGTATGATAGAAGGGTTTGTGTGAGAAGGTGATCGTACGGTACTCGTCACATATGGAACATTCAGTGGTAGGTCCATTAGTGATACACCCGGGACAATTTACCTTTACCCCTACAAAGTTAACCTCATGTATTTTACCCTTCTCCCCTTCACGGTGCTGCATTGTTTCGAAATCAAAGGCGACGATTCGGTACGCCTTTGGGGGTTTGATGACAAGGGGTTTAATGTAACACCCACGCTTTGGGTCGTGATAACTACCGCACGTAGTGCAATAGCGTTCAGAACAAATATGACCTTCTCGCCCATTCCTATTGTTATTCTTAACACCCCAGATAACCCCACATTTTTCACATTTTTTAGAAGAATTGCAAAAATTTGAGGTGATATGATGGGTAAAACAATTCTCATTCTTAAAGTTTTTCCCACACCCATTACAATGTTTAAAGAAATTATCTAATGGTTTACAAGGGAACCCAGGACCAACCATAGAACATTTTTGACATCTTGATTTACATGAGATTGCATGGTTTGATTTCCTATTATAAACGCTTTCACATGATAAACAGTAGGGTTTACCGAATAAGTCATTAGCATTGCGGACTCCATCAAAGTGATCCTTATTATGAAACAAAATTATAGGGATATCGAAATTATCTGGCCCATATTTATAAATAGGCTTTTCCCCAAATTCCCCGAATATATAAACTTTAAACCATCCTCTGTTCACTGCATTCCATAAGTCAACCACACGTGGTACCCATTCTTCAGCACAATACACCTCTTGGTGACATTCAGCTCCAACCTCTATCATCAGATCTAATACATCATTTTCAAGAAGTTGTTTCATCCCTTTTCGGCTATGCAAATAATTATAAAATTTCCATCTTGGCCAAGAAAATATTGCATAAACAAAAGTAGCCATCAGAGCGTAAAAAAGACAGTAGCTATCATTATTCCGGATCTTGATAAGGTTTTGGTCAATGATTTTATGATGTATCGGTTTTGATCCTCTTCCACTACCATGCACGGTTCGCGAGCTAAGTCCATCTCTTTGTATAGTTGTTATCGAAACCAGAAAAGGGGCCCCCCATAACATACCATTATCCTGTTTCTTACTCTGGGAAACCTTTAGGAATTGATTCAGGATTGAATCAATAGTGTTGGGAGTGATCTCACGAATCGGGATCCAAATGTCTGAGTCAAGGTTCTGACTCGAAATTATACACCCCAGCTGGTCTGGTTCCATTTGTCGTTGATGATTTTCTAATAGAGATTGTTCGATACAATACTCAAAAATGGAGCCTAGTAAACCTTCTGGATTATTTGGAACATTTGTGACTATGAATTTGGTTGATAACTTAAGAAGATTAAATTTTTGGGTAAACTTGGTCTCATGACCAAGTTTTTTAACATAGAGGTCAAGACTCTCAGTAGGGGCGATTTTAATTTTCTTGGGAGGGGTAGGTTGCATTTTTAGAAGATAAAATAAAATGAAAAATTAAATTTGGTATAAGATATATGAAAGGAAATTAAATCAAAAATAAATGTTTTTTTCAACAATAAAAAAAAGAAATTTCAAGTTATAGCTAAAATAAATTTTCTATAAAGATTGGCAATGGGTAAATAAAGTTAAGAATGTGGTATTTGCAGGATATGATCGTGAAGAAGCTGGCGTTGAACAGTAGTGATTTTTTCAGTTAAAATTCATCTCTTTTTATACCAAATGAGACTCCACCTATTTTAAATTAGTTTCAAAATAAAACACAGTTGGATTTTTTAAAGGAATTTAGGATTCTAGGTCAGCATTTTAATCTAACCTTGAAATTTTGACCTATTTACTGTCTAATTTTATAAATATATTCAATTAAATACATGAGTGAGGGATATTTTAGTGTCGTGAAGATAACACTATAACATATAGACATTAACAATGTAGCCGAAGTGGATTGGGTTAGATTAGATGTAGGAGATCAGGGACTAGCCAGATAGTATGATCCATTTAGACTAACACTCACTGGTATTTATACTATTTTAAGTTTGCGTAATTAAATAATAAACACATCAGATAGCATTGGGTTTTGTGTTTTTCCGAATTTTACTTCGAAAAGGAATATAAAGATGTTAAAAAGATGTTAAAATTATATATTTTATTATATAAGATTATTTAAAATAAGACTTATGAAATTTATATAGTATTTTATGTTTATCTTTTAATAACCAATTTTATTTTTATATTCATTTCATTATTTTTCATAATTTCTTAAACCACATATTTACATATTTCAAGGACTTTCCTTTTTTACCCTCAAATTGAATACAAAAGAAATTTAAGTTTTTCAGAGTAAATCCTTTAGAGAATACAATACACAATAGAGAGAAAATTTCAGTTTTTTAGGTTAAATTTTATAGAAAAATTTTTAATAATACAATAGGAATTTCTAGCCTATAGAAAAATTTTATAGGTTTTTTAGGTCAATCTTTCAATAGAAAAATTGTGAATAGAAAAATCTTTGATATGTAACACAATGAAAATTTTGAGCCTATTGAGAATTTTGATTGCTTTTAGGTCAATCTTTGAATATGAAAATCGTCGAATAAAAATTTTAATCCTATAAAAATTTTGCTTGGTTTTAGGCTAATTTTTGAATAGAAAAATCTTTGAATGAAAATTCAAAATTTAGGTTAAATTTGAATAAGAGAAATACAAAAGAAAAATTTTAAAGTTCCTTTTTTCAATCTCACACTGAAAAGAATTTTTGGTAATTCCAAGGCTGGTCCCCCCCCCTTTTTCCTTTCTATTTTTTTCGATTACCTATTTAAACTTTTTATGGCAAATTACATATCATTCGAAAGAGCTCTTCGAGCTGAGTCGAACGGTACTAGATTCATCGAAATCCGAGTTAAATAAACATAGCTATGAGCATTTGTTTTAATCCCTTTCAGCATCACAAAAAGCACGTCCTTCGAGGATTTAGCTTCATAAATCTGTTCAGATTCGCCAAATCTAACCGATCATAGTATCATTCTACTCAGCTCGAACAGCTCTTTCGAATGATATATTGAAAATTATATGCCAAGCAAAAAAGCTCAAAATGGTCAGCGGAACAGAAAAAAAAGGGGGGGGACCAGCCTTGGAATTACCGAATTTTTAATGATAGAAATTTTTAGGTTAATTCTTTTCACATAATAAAAAGAAAAGATTGAAACTAAAAGGATTAAAAATCAGTACAAAACTAAAAGTAGTTTTGAGAAATTAAATTTACATAATTGGATTAGTGTGAGGCGAAATAAACTTTTTTGTCTAACAAAAGAAAAAGGGACCATTGAAAAGTAAGGAAAATAAAGGGATCTAATTTAAGGAAAATTATTTATCAGTTTTTCCTCCTTCTCCGAGCTGGCTACGCTGTTGTCTTAAATTTAGCGGCTACGCATACGTTGGTTTAACTACTGATGCCTTTAATGACCCAAGCAATACTGCTTAATACATGGTTGAAGTCTAAGAGTCGAAGTCTAAGAGTTGTCTAGTTGCAGTAATAGAAGCACAATCAAAAATTACGAGTTAGGGACACTAAAACTGCCTTGAGCATTATAAATTTTTCTCATATGTAGATCCTAGTTTTAAATCTTCATTTCGACCTTTCATTGCTGAAGTTGTCTTAAAAGATTTAATTTTTATTTCTTTAAAAACTTGAAATCCGAGAAAATATACTCCTAAAATTCTTTCCATATACAAATTCAATCATTATCCATCTTCGGTTTCCCCTTTTAAATGCCAAATAAACACAAAAAAAGTTTTTAAGGCAAACACACACACAAAGAAAATAAATAAAATGAAATATATATTTTGACGGATAAGGGCGGCATCATCAAAAGAATTATTTTCTCGACCAATTTTCTTTTTCATTATTATTTAAAAACTCTTAAGAAAATCTTTTTAAAAATAAAAAGAAAGAAGAGGAGCGCGTAAAATGAGGAGAGAGACAGTTGTTAACATAAAGAGTTTTTTTTCTTTTTTAAGAAATATTTTTAATAATTATTTAAAAGGCTTCTCTCAATTAAAGCTTCCTTTTAAAAAAAATAAATAATTTTGATTTATTTAAATTAATTAAGAATTAATTAAAAATTCTTCTAAAATACATATTAATTTATTAATTCAAAGGGAGATAAAAAAATTTTTTAATTTTCTCAAAGGTTATTTACTCAAATTTTTATAAATTTTTAGGCTTTAAAATCTCAATAAGTTTGTATGTACATAGTTGATTTTTATTTTTTAAATTTTTTTTTTAAAATATTTAAATGTAAAAAGCTCAAAAATTATTTTTACTTTTAATCCTTTTTAAAGATATTCGAGAAGGTATAGGAGTAAAATATATTTTACTTAAATCACACAAATCTTCGGTCATCTTTAAACTAAAAAAATAAAAGTATATTATCTCACCTTTTATATAGATTCAGAATTAGGTATATTTTTTCTCTCAAATTTCTTTTTTCCTTTGCAAATTTAGCAAAAAATATTTAAATTATTTAAAAAATTTACCTATCTATAAATAGAAAATAAATTTTAAATTCCTTAAATAGCCTTTTAAAGGAGGTACATATTTTTAATATTTTCATGAATAATGAAAATGTGAAGAAGAAGCTTTTGATTATTTTTAAATAAAAATTTAATAAAAAGAAAATGATAAATAAATTTCCTCCTTTTTTACAATACATTTTTAAAAATAATTTTTAAAATCGAAGTAACTCAAATAATTAATTTAATCTCTCCAAAATTTTTATTATTTTTGGCAGCAATTAAGAGCCTTTCTTTAATTTTTCTTGTTTTTTATTAAAAATGAAAAACATAAACAATTTTGACTTTTTTTTTAATTTAAAATTTATTTTTTAAAATTAGAGAGAATGTTTACTATTATTATTCCCTTTTTATTTTTTCTTGGTCAATCAGTTTATTCACTATCAGGTGGTCAATGGTCAATTCTAGCGTCATCTCCCCATTCTAGTAATAATTGGATACAAGAACAACAAAGGCATCAAGAAACCTCAAAATGTTTAAATATTTCAGAAAGATTTACTTTATGTCATGGAATGCAAGTAAAAGAAAAATAAAAATATTTTTTGAAAAAATTTTTTAAAATAAAAGTATAAAACAATGAGATTGCCAAATTTACTTGAACACGAAACTATGGAAGAAGCAATTCAACAAAGTTCAGCATGGATTTCATTGCTTCGATTACACTGTCACCCACATACTAAAGTATAAATTAATATGTAGTAATGGAACCCTTGAATATTTTTTAGTGACAAACTTTTAAGTAGAAAATTAATTATTTTTATTTATTACCAGAGGGATGTTCAAAAAAAATAAACGAAGGATCCAAATAGTGTTTAAATATAAGAAATACAAATAAATACCGTAAATACTCTAATAGAAGCCCACCTCTGGTAGAATCCTACCTCTAATACAAGCCCATCTGAGGAGATCCATTGAAAAGTATAATCCCAGGGCTTCTATTAGAGTATTTACGGTATATTTTGAGATTATCCTTTTTAAAAGGGATAACAGTAGACTGTAAATGATAACTTTTAAAAATTTAATTTTAAATTTAAAGTTATTTCTTTGTTCACTTTTTGCACCTATTTGTCTTCCTCAAATTGAAAAACCTATTCATCCTTGTGAATCACTCTGTAATGCTGTTAGGGAAGTAAAAAGATTCTTTTTAATTATTAAATTATTAAAATAATTTAAAAAAAGGGTTGTGCAACAAGAATGGAGAAATACGGCTTTCCCTGGCCAGAAATGCTTAATTGTAGTCAATTTCCTTCTGATAATGATTTATGTATTAAACCTCCCTCCTCTATTACACCTACAACAGATGAAGAAGAAGAAAGAAAAAGAAAATATCCACCGCCATTACTTGCTAATGTTAAAGGTACTAACAAATTAGTCGAATTTCGTGTAATGTACAAACCCTCTCGTTATATTGTCAACTGTAAACTAAAACGAGTTGCTTATTGTTAGGCATTTCTACTCAATCAGTGACAACATTTAAAAAATCAGTATACTAAACTGAAACGCATACATTAATTGGTGTATACATATAATGTGATTTAACTATATTTTTCAGGACAAATCTGCAAAAGTTGTGCTCAAGTAGCCACATTTGAAAATTTAATGGATAATTTTTGTCGTTCATCTATTGGTTTGTTAAACTGTAATGTAATTAAACTCAATTTTCTTGATAGTCCTCAAAGTCAGAATTCGCCCAATAAATTCAACATATATGGCTATTATTAAAAGAATGCGAATATTTAAATCCTCAACTACCTCTGCTTCTGGTTCTATTGGTGAAAAATCTACAAGAGATCCAATTGAAGATAAACATATTTTAATTAAATTATCAGAACATGGAGAAACTCGTTGTTATTGTCCTTTTGCAGAAGTAAATACAAGTTCTTTACAAGGTGAAGCAAAAGAGAGACAATTAACTTTTTTGGTTATGGCTAGCGAAAAAAGAAGAAATGGAGAATTATTAAATGCTAAATTAATTGTCCCTTGGAGACAAGAAAAGGTGATTGAGAAATTTTTAAAAGAAATTGAAAAAATATTTTTAAGAGCTTCAAACAAGCAATAAGGCGATTTAAAAAATTAAATTGCAATACACTTGGAAGGGAAATTCGAGAAAGTGTACTTAATCAAATGTTTAGAAGAAAAGTTGGTAGAGGAAGGAATTGAAATTATGGGGAAATAAAAAAAATATAAAAACTAGTCATAATGATTGTAATATAGTAATGAGCTTTTTAAAAATAATAATTATTATTTTTTAATTTCTTTTTTTTCTTTTTACTTTCAAAGAAATAATTGGAGTTTTATTAATCAAGTATTTGACAAAATATTTAATTTTTAAGTAGTTTTGTGGAAAATTAATTATTCCTAGAATAAATTAAACCTCTACTTCCCCTATAAAAACTCAGGCCTATATGTATATCCAACAAATTTTAAAAAATTTATAAATTTAAAAATATATACAGATGATTGCATAATTATTCTTGTCAGCTTAACTTACAATTAATAAAAAATAAGTAATTTATTGTTCTGATAAAGGCAATTATTATTTGTCAATTAATTAAAATTAAATACTCGAAATACTCTCATTATCATCCAATTCAATCATTTGAGTTTGGAAAGCATTTGCTTGTTGTTGTAATTCTGTAAGTCCACTAACCCTTTCTAATTCTGTTGGATCATTAAATATTTTTGAAAGAAATTTAAAGCCTTCTTGAGAATAAAGATGACGAACCTTTAAAAATATAAAATTAAAAAAATTTTTCTCAAAATTTTTCTCACTGAATTTCCACAAGCAGTACAACGATCAAAACGTCTTATTGTAGGCATAATTTGTTGAAATGTAGAAACAAATCCCCTAACTTCGTGAGGTGTTGCTCCAAGCAAAGATGCACTTGCATCCATTTCACTCATTCGGGCTGGGGCATCTGCTTCTAATTTGTGTTGAAGAACAGAGGCTAATAATTCAACAGCAAAGCCGGAAGCAATCATTGAAATTCCTGCCCGAGAAATTGTGCACTAAAATAGAATAGATAAATTAGAATAAAATAGGAAAATGTATAAAAATGTAAACCAAAAATATTTGCCTTTTGTGTATATTTTTAGATGGGGGACTCATTGTCAGATGTATTTAAATAAATTTCTCCACAAAACACAAAATATTTTTGGTTATTAGAGTCAATAAAAATCTCCGTAATTCAATTTAAAAATATTTAGAAAGATCCATACATGTTGATCAAGTGCCCGTTCACTTGTAGAATTTCCAGGTGCAGTCACATCATTACAAAAATAACACCCAAGTAAAGATCCAGGCAATTCTGCATGTAAATCTTGTGCCATTTCACTCATTTCTGGTTCTAATTTACATTTTTGTTGTTCACTTTCTGGATTAGTTCCATGTCTTAATATTACAAAATCATCAAATCCTAAAGCTACAGTGATTGCTAGTTTATTATGAACGGAAGCAAGAAGTGTTGGTAACCAACGAGATTCACGGCTATCCATAACCAAAAATAGAACATCACAATTTTTAATACATTCCTCTAATTGATTACAACTTTGTCTAACATTGTCTTCTTCTAAAAAATTTAAATATACAAGTGATAAAATGTAAGGGGAATGGACCAAAAACCATGAGGAAAGATTTAATAATCAAAGATAGGAACTAAAAGCCTTAAGAAACAAAAAAATTTCAATAATTTTCTTTTCTTTTACCTTCCTCGGAGAAAGGATATCCAGGCATTGGCACTTTCATATGAATCCCTTTTGCCTCAACTTTTGGATAAATACGTCGCAAAGCGTTTGCAGCAGCTTCAGCTTTTGAAAGGCCAGCAACAAGACAATCTTCAAAGCAAAAGAGAGATTGGCGAACTGGATTGTTATAACTTAAAAATTAAAAAAAATATTTTTAATTTTATAAAATTCCTTTTATTTTAATTGAAAATAAAATTCAAATAAATCTACCTAACGGTTGCATAATCAATAAAAGTGAAATTCCTCACTCCCCAACCTAAAAGAGCACGAGCAATATTACAACCAAGAGTTCCAGCTCCAACAAGTAAAATACGAAGAGAAGTAAATTTATCTAGAGAAATTGAAGGTGCTTGACGCCAACGAATTAATTTAAGGTTGAGATCAACACTTTGTTCCATTATACTGAAAAATAATTTTTAAAAGATTTTCTAAAGATTTTATTCAAAATTTTGAAATTGTGTTCAAATTTTAATTCTTAAGATCAAGGGAAAGTATCAAAGACAATTTGTCTTAAATTGGAAAAACGCTATTTGATGGAAACCCAATGAAAAATAACTATCGAAAAAAACAAAATTAACTAAAAAACGCTAGAGAAAATACGATTAAATTTAAGAAAAATTCAAGTACACAATAAAAAATAAATTTTAAAATTTTAAGACAACTCACTTAATTGGATCTAACATAAATTTTAAATCAACACTCCGATAAGTAAGTTTGTCATTAGATGTCCTTTCCCAACCAACACATTTTGGTATAGTTTCAATTTCATTTTTGATAATGTCCCAAAAAAGCGTTGAAATAAAACTGTTTTGATAAAGTCTGGTTAGTGAAAATACTCGTAATTTGGACCATGTTGGTCTGCAAAAAATAAAATTAGTTAGAATAAATCACAATTATAAGATTAATTTATACTTTAAATAAGCTATAGCTGCAAGTAAATTCCTCAATGGCCATCCAAATTTTTCTTGAACTTCTGAAGGATTTGGAAAAACAAGTAAAAAATCATCGGGGGATGTTTGTTCAATCAATTCTTCCAATTTTAATGCCTTTTGATTGTTGGTTAAAATAAAAGGTTTCCCGTTATTAGAAACGAGAAATTCAAAAGCTAATGAATGTAATTCAATATTTGGTGATTCAAATTGGGATGTTTGATGAATATTTTCAGGAAAGAGTAAGGCAGGAATACAATTCCAAAAATAATATGCAAAATTTTTGACATCCTAAAATTAATGAAAAAAATTTAGAAAATGGAAACTTACTGCAAATGCAGTCAAATAAAAAGTATTTAGGGCATTTGGGTTTTTTAACCATTCATTTGTTGTAATTAAAGTCCACAACTTAAAATTAAATAAAATATAAATTTATTTATTTAAAAGAAAACCCTTACAGTTTCAGCAATATTCTTCAACAAAATAGTTCTGTCCAGCTCCAAAAAAGCTTTTTTCGTGTTTAAAAGAAGAAAAGTTCCCTCAACATTATAAATTCCAGAATTAATTTTAACATTATCTTCAGAAATATTTTTTAAAGATTCGTGATCAAAACATAATAAACTGTCTGAAGGTTGAGATCCATCTAAAAATAAATTTAAAAAAATTTTTTTAATTAAAAATATTTACGAAATGTTAAATTGCAATGAACAGTTTTAGGCGATTCATCCAATTTCCATTCATTAATTTTAAGTCTATTCACTTCATTCCAAAACAGTGGATCAATAAAAGTGGTGAACGGAATGAATGAACAACGCGTTTTTGTTGGCGATTGTTCCATTTAAAAGATTTAATTTTGGTCTATATTTTAATTTTATAATTAATTTAAAAAAGTTGGGCCGAGAAAAGTTCGAAATTTCACTGAAAAATAAATATTCGAAAAACCCCCCAGTTAATCGCGAATCCAGTTAATCAAAATTAAAATGCTAGACTAGCAGAAAATGATAATTATGTACAAGCTAGCTCTACTTCGTCTTTCAAACTTTTGAAATTCGAAAAGATTAACTAGAACAAAAAGAGATAAGCAAGCCATCTCGATCAAACAATAAATAGTTGGGCCGAAAAAAGTTCACGACTAAAAGGGCACCACCTCAAATTATTTTTTAACAGTTTAAATTTCCGCAAATTTTCGCCAGAATCGATATTTTAATTTTATTCACTATTTTCATACTATTTTCTCTTCTGTCTCTTCTTTTTCTCATGTCTTTCGTTTAATTCTCACGTCTGCTACAAAAAAATATTATTGTCGTGAAAGCTCGAGACGGACAGACAAAAAAAAAGAAAAGAATCACGTTGCACCGGAACTTCATTAAATTTATCAGTACTAAAAACTTTTGTTTATTTTTTGTTTGTGGAAAAATGAACGTGACAATGTTTAATTCAGAATTTATTTTTATAGATATTGACCGGAAGTCTTATTATAATCGTTTATTTTATAACAAATTAAATTGTTCAGTAAAATGGCTCTAAAGCGAATCCAGAAAGTTAGTTTGATAAACCTCCGGAAATGTTTGCTGTCATTTTTTGCTAAAAACTTTAAATGTCGCTCTCTTTTCCAGAGGATTACCTTTATAATATTTTACAAATTTCTCGTTTTTTAGGAACTTCAGGACCTTGGACGTGATCCACCAGCGCAATGCAGTGCAGGGCCAGTTGGTGATGACCTTTTCCATTGGCAGGCCACTATTATGGGACCGCCAGAATCGCCATATCAGGGCGGAGTGTTCTTCTTGACAATCCACTTTCCAACAGACTATCCGTTCAAGCCGCCAAAAGTGGCGTTTACGACTCGTATATATCATCCAAATATCAACAGCAATGGAAGCATCTGCTTGGACATTCTGAGATCTCAATGGTCTCCAGCTTTGACTATCTCAAAAGGTTCTAATTTTTATTTTTTGGGTTGCCATATTTGCGTGGGTTTCTTATTTTTTCATACAAAAAAGGGGTTTAGGATTCTATAGTTGATAACAAAAATCCTAAAGTCATTGATTACATTCATTAAAATAGAGTTTTAAAAAATTTTTATTTTTTAAAAATTGTCCATAATTCTGTTAAAAATCTACCGTTAAATTTTTATAAAAGAGATGTTTTGCTCTTTATTTAATTTTTCAGTTTTGCTGTCAATTTGCTCATTGCTCTGTGATCCAAATCCGGACGATCCGTTGGTGCCCGAGATTGCGCGCATATATAAGACTGATCGAGAGAGATACAATACGCTGGCTCGTGAATGGACGCAGAAATACGCCATGTGATCGAATCGGCCGGAAGATGTATTGAAGGAATATTAAGAAGTGATTGTTGAAGGATGAATGAAGGACAAAAACGACTTCCGGGAGAATTTTTACTATTTGAACGACCACACCACCATGTTTTTTTCTGACAGTAAATTCGATACAAATTAATGTCCTTTTCTATTCATTTTTCTATATAAATAAAGAAAAATTCTTCCATTCTTAAAACTTTGTCAATTATTAACTTCATAATGAATAGGTTTATCAGTTCTTTGAAAATATTCGGATATCCGGAACTGGACCGAAAATATTTGGTGAGGGATATTGCCTCAAAATTTCGTTCCTACTAAAAAATAATTGTGCACCCAAATTTCGGGAGGTCAAGAAGCAAGTAATCCTCCGCTTTCTGACGAACCGAATAGAGGAATCGGACCGATATTAGGGGACAAAAAAGATTTACTTTTTCTAAAGCATTTTTAAAGGGCTATTTATAATACATAACATCTCTTTCATTCAAAAATTATAACGGTTTTATCGAAGGTAACCCCATTTTTCGGGAAAATAAGTTCAGAGCCACTCTGTTTTTTCTTTAACTGGAGCAAAAATTCTAAAAAAATTTCTGTAGATATTTCCATCAATACTGGGTAGAAAAGTAAAAAGAACAAAGTCTAAGTTCTTTCTTCAACGAGATCTCGTCTCGAATAACAACGGCAATGGGATTACATTACTTCAAAAAATAATTTAACCCGCTAAAGCTTGTTTTAAAAATTTCTTTTAGGCCCTTTTTTAGAAAAATCAAGTCTTTACTATTTTGTAGCAAATTTTATGGGCCTTCAGACTATTTTCGTCAAATTATCCACACTTTTAAATCGCCTTGCAACTGGTTCTAAACACATTTCACTGACTGTAGTTATGTGCACAAATAATTATAAATTTAAAAAATTAGTACAGAAAGATTATTGTTGGCGTTGTGTATTTAGATGAATAAGAGTCCCAAATGCTCGTTTGCCGACATTTTTTCTGCTTTGTTAATAAATAAGCGATGACAACAGTTTAATTAATGTTCCTTCGATTAAAGTTGCGTTAATCCTAGTGGATTTTATTTACTGATCAAAATTTTTTAAAGAGAGAAAAGGCAAATAATGCCTCTACATATTAAAACAAAATAAAGACTTTTGATCTTTTTTTTTATTTTTAGATGTTTTCAAGTTTTAAAGATGTCATGATTTGATCAGAAACATTCCATTACCTACTAATTTATTTTTTAATTTTTTATTTTTAAACGAATTGATTTCTTTGCTGGCCTAACGCCAAACACATTGACATATGCGTTCTACTCATACTTTTCTTCTTTTCTCCCATATATTTCTCTTTTTTCATAGCCTCACGCCAACAATAAATACGCATATATTGGGTGACACTAGACTTCTCATGTCTTTTCTATCCATGCTGTTTTTTTGCTTTCGTATCAGTCAGCAGCTGCCCCCACTACAAAAAAAGAACAACAGAGCACCTACCCTTTTATTATTACACGACTTGGAAGTAGGGCTTTTAAGTGTTGAAGACCAAACGGATGGTTAAATTGGATGATGGAGGCGATATGTGACATGCTTTTTAACAATTAAATAGATTAATCGTTCAATTTTCCATCTCAATTAACTCAAAATTTAAAGCAAAGATTAAAAAAAGATTACCTAGCAACAAAAAAATTTTTTTGGAGTAAATTTATTTTTAAATCAATACAAATATATTTTCTTTTGTTTTTTCTAACTCATAAATTTCTTTACAATTTTCTTTTTCTAAAAATTTATAGGCTATATTTAATTAGCAACTTAAAAAGCAGTAATGCTTTGCTAATTTAGAAAATGCGTGTTATTTTATTAAAATGCTTTTATCATACAATAACAACAATATTGACAACAACCGTGTGATGATTGACGACTTTGCAGATCAGTAAGTTCCGACAACTTTTTCACTTTTCCTTTTAAATGCTTTTTGGAATTTATGTGATAACAAAATTTAAAAATGATTTACACAATCCACATGATGTACAAATACCGCCTCTCAATTCTTCGGACCGTTAGGGGCGTGGTTTTCTTTCTTCAGAAGCAAAGGCTGTCTGCTTGAGAGGAAGAGAATTTGGGGCGTGGTTTTTCACATTCACACACAATTCTGAATAGGCGTGGCTAGTTTTTTGGGTTTTGTTTGTGTGGATTATAAAGTTGTGAAAACAAGCTCTCTGTATTGAGGCTGACAATAAGAAAAATCTTGAAAATACTAAAGGGTATTTTCATGAATTGATATTAAATTGGGTGATTTTTAATCCCCCTTAAAATTAAAAAGTAAAAAATTGAAGATGTTTTTTTGGAAGATTATTGACATTAAAAAAATAATTTTTAAGGGATTGGTTTGCGGAATCTGAGGAGATCACAAGTGGTGTTATTCAGAAACATCCTGCTATACTTGATGACCAACATCAATTTCATAATGTGCCCCATCAATCTCTACAACAACAACAAAATACAAATGTTGATTATTTGGATCTCAATGTTCCCGTTGATGAAAATGTTTTTTATTCTTCAAATGGAGAACAATCTATTACAGCTTCGACATCTCATTATTTGGAAAGAGGGGAGCAAAATATCAGCAATATTGGTGCACAAATTATTCAATCAACTAACTCTTCTGTGATTTATAATGAAACTAATGGAAATTCTGTTGGTTTCCAGACTAATCAACAACCTCTCCCTCTTCTAACTAATTTTGGAAGGGATTATGGAACTGCGAGAGCGCAGGCTTCCGTGTTGGCAGTTCCTCAGGTTTTTATTTTTATTATGTTTTATTTTAACCTTTTCCTTTAATTTTTCTGATAAGTTATTTCATCGTTTTTAAATGGGTTTTTTCCGGTTCACGGTCTTTTATATAACTAGGTTTTAGCATCATGAGTTGAAACATAATTGTTAGCCCTTGTTTTTTGCTTGTTCTTAAATATTTTTAAATTTTTCCTTTCCCTTAGATACGTCAAGAACCTAACGATGGAAAGTCTACTTATATTGACTGCATGCCTAGCACATCACTTGCCACATTAAAACCTTACACCCAAGAACAATCACAGGTTTGCCAATCACAAATTCAGCAACTCCAACATCCACCTCAACAGCAATATTATTATGAGCAAAGGATATTTCCAAATGAACAACAACATACTCAGCATCTGCCACAATCTTTTAATGGTTTGAGTTTTTGTTAAATTAGATATATTGTCTAATAAATATTTTTTGACTTTCTTGGGTTTCACTTGATCCCAGACCTATATAAATAAATCACCCTACGCCTATCCAAAGTCAATAAAATTACCTGACCAACTTAACATTTATTTTTTACTTAAGGTCAAAGCAATTTCTACGGAAATATTCCTTCTCAAGAGATTCATCATCAACAGTCAGCGCAATTAGTCCATTTAGAATCATCATCTGTGAATTCGGCTGGCACTTCTGCGGCTATATCTAATGTATTATTTTTAATTAATTTTTGTGAAACTTTGGCGTCACTGTTTTGGTGCCAGTTCTATTGACATCCGTATACCCCAATATAGGCGAAAAGTATTCCAAAATTAATCTCAAAACCTATTTTCAATCTCTATTCCCAAAATATGTATATAATTAAAAAACGAAGATATCATTACCATTTCTCAATTTTCTAGCCAATTAATCAACAAAGCCAACATTCACAACAACACTTTTACCCATCCCAACAGCCACTTCAACAAAATCATCAATTCAATTCACCTTTAATCTCTTTAATTGACCATCAACAACAACCCTCTTCCTTTCAATTACCTCCTAACTATCAACCTCCACCTGAGCAAATAATTGGCCATCAACCTTTAAATACTTCAAATGCAGTTTTCTCTTCAAATCAGCTAAATCAACAATGTAATACTGTCGAGAGTGTGTCTGTGAAAACTGTCGCTAAAAAATCTACTAAAACAAGGAGGAGGCCTTCGGTTTCAAATCAATCGACAAATAAACTTAATAATGGTTATGAGCAACAAACTGAAACTTCAAGTGGTCTGGACCAAGTAGCTAAAAGCCTTTTTAGCAATCAGAAGACTGCAACATTGGAGTTTGCAGATCCACAATTGGCAATGGAATTTGCTTCTCTTATGGGTCGTTGCCAACAATTAGAAGAGGTTTCTATTTTACGTTCATAAATTGATTGTTTATTCTGACTGATTGTGTTAGCGAAAATATTATAATAAATTAATTCAAAATCTTCAGTTTTTACTTAATTAAGAGTTATATTTAGCAAAAGAAAAGTGGAATAGACGTAACTTCTGAATTGCAAATTGTTATGGACCGGATTGCTGACTGTATTGTGAGAAACACCACAACGTATGAAGAAAATATTTCTTTAATTTTGTTAATTTTATATTTTAGTTCCGCTATCAAAGCGGCCCAACAAGAACAACAATATGCATCCTCACTTTCTGGCCAATTTGAGGCAGTTCCGTCCACATCAACTACTCAGTTTCCTTCTAACAATAAGCCTGCAAAAAGCCGTGCTCCAAGAAAGAAGCCTAACGTTACTAAAAAATCTCAGATTCCTTCAAATGTCCAAACATCAACAGTAATAACCCCAAATTCCTTTCAACAATCAAAAACTCAAACTAATCCACAACCTTTTGTTAAACAATCGGCAGACTCCTTGTCAACATCGACACCTGTTCAGTTTGTCGCATTTAATCCTACAACACAATCTCATCCAAGTACATACACTTCTTCAACAATTCTTGCAAATAATGTTAGACAGACAACTTCATTGCAAATTGGTTTGTTTTTGAGGCTTTAAAAATCGTTATATTTTCTTTTCAGAATCATTAAAAGAAGAAAAAATCATTTCTGTGTTAGTCCCTACAACTGATTCGTCTTCTGACAATATGATCTATGCAAAACGAAATATGCGTGTAATAGCCCAAGAAAATGAAAAATTAATTGCGGAAAAATTGGAAAAACAAAAAGAAAAGCGTCGGGAAAGGTTTAATAGTTTTTTAAATTTTTAATTCAAAATATTTTTAGGTTGACAGAACATTTTGCCCAGATGCATGAAAAACTTCTTAAACCAGATTTGAGCTCTTCCTTCAAAAGTAAAAATGATTCTATTGAAAGGCTGCTTCCATATGGGCTTTTTTCGGAACCAGAATTTAGTCAAGAATTTATTGATGGATGTAAGTATTTTTGAGTGAAGGACTTTCTTTTAATTTTAAATAATTTAGATGATGCTGAATTGCAACGACACAAAGAACTCATGCAAATACGACAACATTCTATTAAACAACGAATGTGTTCTGCTTTATTTAGAGAAGCAATAGATTCCACAAAAGAACAATGCAGTTTGTTGCTTTATTTGGATGCTGAATTTGAGCATCGACAACTAAAGAATGAAATTTCTCAATGGAAAAATATTTGCAAAAATGAAGAAAATGCTAGAAAGTCACCAATAAAATTATCGTCAGTTATGGATTGGGAATATAATGAATGGGATGATGAACGTTATCAACATGTTTTGTCCCCAAAAATTGAAGAATTAAAGGAAGAAGAAACTGAAACAGAAGTTAATATTAGCAGGTGCAGTTTTTATTCTAATTGAGTAATTATATCGAAAATATTTTTTAGCGATTCGTCTAAAAGTATTGCTGCATGTTCTTCATCTCTTGCAACACCAAGATTTGCATCAATCACCATTCAATTAAAAACTTATCCATTGGTGGAACGCAATGAAAATGTGGCTACTTTCTGTCAAGTTAAAAATACAGAGGAGGAAAAGCCGGCGTTAGCAAAAGTCAATTTAAAGTTGGAACGTTTTTTGGTGAGTTTTAGAGAATGTTTTTTTGCATCTATGTATGTTTTTATATTTTAAATACTTTTTAGTTATTTTATTTTTTATTTTCAGTTGAATGAAGAAATTGGAAAAACAACAACACCAATTTTGTTAAATGGTAATAACGAAGAGAAACCAGCAGAAGTTACATCGTTTCGATCTGTTCGAACGGTAATTATTTTAGTTATTCATCCTTAACATTTATCACATATTGTTGCCAATACTTATTCCGTCAAAGTTGATAGACTGTCATATGATTAAGAAAAAAATTAAAATGTGAAAAAAAAGAAAGACAAGTTGATTGATTTTTTGAGTCCTATAGAGCTATGGATTTACGTGTCATTAAATTTTTTTGTGTCTTATTATATAGTGTTGGCAATCGATACCTCTTAATGAATTCTCAATTGTCTTTAGGAATTTAAAATTCTTGTTTTATAGAATTCCATGGAAGAAGAAAAAGAAGAATCATCTACTTGTTTAACAACAATTAACGAGACAATCAAGCCAGTAAAGTTAAAGATCAAATTGCCTCCAAAAATTGAAAATTTTGAAGCCGATAAACAAAGATCGGATGAGAAAAAATTACGTCGAGAACAAAAACGATTAAGAAAAGCTGAGAGGAGGGCAGCCCGGCTATCTGATGAGATTAATAGGGAAATGGTTGGAGGTGAACAAATGGATATTGACAGAAAAAATGATGATTCGAAAGATACTCTACAAAGTACATCTCGAGAAGAATTGTTGAAAATTCAAGAAAAGTCTCCTTTAAAAATTTCTTTGAAAAGACCTATCATTCAAAAACAAAATAATAATTGTTTAACAACATCATTGCAAAAATCCTCTCTAAATGAAGAAATTAATATTCCAGTTAATAATGATTGTAATGGAAATGTTGGGGGTGGTGGTTTATTGAAATTGAGAATATCTAAACATATTTTGGTAAATACACCCGTTGTTTCAGAACAAAATGACATTGTAGAAGAAAAAGAAAGGGAGGAGAAGAATAATCAACAGGAAGAACAAAAAGAAATAAAAAAGAAAAAACATAAAAAAGATAAAAGCAAAAAACGAAAAAGTGAAGAAAATAAAGTGGTAGATTATAAAATTGTTGAACAAACAGAAGAAGAAGAACAATATCCTGCCAAAAAAGTGCCAAAAATTCGAATAAAGTTTGGAGGAGAAAGAGAAGGTGGTGAGGTGACAATGAAGACTAAGATAAATAATAATAATGCATTGTTGGAGAAATTAAATGAAGAAAATAAAAAAATTGAAGAAGAATTTAAAGGACAACAAACTTCTGTCAAACAAGTTTTGGAATTGCCACAACAAAAAAATCTTTCACAAAACGATAATAATATTTGTGTTCCTGTTTCATCATTAATATTACCTCAAAATCGTAATCTCATTTTCGCTAATAATAATGAAGAAAAGACTAAAGTTGACAATAAACAGAAGATTGAATTTTCTCCGTGTTGTTCTGGTTTGTTTATTTGGATATTTAAAGAATTTGGGTTTCTTATTTGAAAATGCCTTTTGTCTGAAATAAATTCCGGCATTTTTTTCAGTTTAGCTATTTAAACTTCTCTCAAAATTTTGTTTGATTAACTTTAGGCTTTTGGGGTTTCAGTTTCTGCGATTTATCTGTCATTTGGGTTAATCTTGATCTTTTAGGGGTTTAAAATTTAACTCCTAAATTATTGTTAAATCTATATATTTACTTTCAAACTTTTAAAGATGACGAATCAGATGATGAACTACGTCAGCGAACCAATCAATTGCTCTCAAAAATTGGAAGGCTTTAGACACCAGAAAATGCCTTTTTCATTCAGTTCCGGTAAAGAGAAATTTGCGTATTTTTCTAAAAAATTTGCACAAAGAAGTACGGGTTTAATATCTGTGACAAACAAAAAATATAATTCTCTTTGTTATTGGAAACTTTACAAAGTTTGACTTAAAGCATTATGCAGTCAAATATAATGATTTTTAAAGGGTTGACAGATTAAAATTTTGGATATTTTTTGATACGATGATTATTTTTGGAAGAAATTTATTTGTAAAAAATCCTATTAAAAGTATCCATTTTGACAACCCTATAATCATTTTTAATTATTCATTTTGCATTTTACTGTTTTTAATCCTCGAAAGACTTTCTTCAAATTCTCGCCATTTTTTATAATTTTACATTTATCTCTTATTTTTGCATTTTCTTTAATTCACTTTAATGTCTCTTATTTATTAGAGCCCGAACATTTTTTATCAAGACATTCAAGCCAATCGCTTTTACAGGTTATTCATTTCCTGAAATAACTAACAAATAAGTTAAGAGGCATAAATGAGAGACTACTTTAAATTCAATAATTTATTCAAACAAAAATTTCTAGACCCAAATATTTTAAAATCAGATAATCTTTAATTTCTCTATTCAACTTTGTGAATTATTTAGAAAATCGTCCATAGTTTGTCTTGTTGATTTATTTATATAACAAAATTTTGTTTTAAATTTTAAAGGAATATTTTTTCCACAAATTGATAAAATCTTTTATTTATTTTTAGAAAATACAATTTTTATTGGACAATTCTTTTTTATTTAATTGCCCAATTCATCTCATTATTTTTTAGTAATAAACGTAATTTTTACGTTAAATTGGCTTTTTTAGTTTTTAACTATAAAATGACAAAAATCTTCCTTTTGTTTACATATTAAAATTAAAGAGAACAATTTAAATCTAGATGAAAATCTACATTTTTTAAATTATTGGAGTAAACATGTAGATGATGAACGTTGATTAGCTGTGTTTTTAGTCGACGTTTCTTTAGTTGTTTCTGATTCTAAATTAATTTTAGAAATCAATCATCTCTTGTTTAATTTGGGAAAAAATAAAATTAATTTTCTTTTCCGAAAATTAAAATAAAATTTCCAAAAAAATTTTATTGAGGGGGAATTCTTCATTAATTTTATTATTCTCTTTACATACCTTTGGATGCTGTTTTGTCATCTTCCACATCTTTCCCTGGTTTTTCGGTTATATTTTTTTCTTCAACATTTGTTGTTGTAGATGCTTGAGGTTTAACAGAACTTTGTTCAGGTTCATTCCTCGTGATTTTAGTTCCCAAAATTTCTGTTGCTATTTTTCTATTCTATGATTTTATTAAACGAAGAAGAAAAATTTTTTTGTAATTTTTTTTCAAAATATTTCTTTAAATTTACCTAAATATCAATTCAATTGAATCATCATTTTTTGCTGACAAGTAGAAATGTGATTGCATTCCTTTTTAATTAAGAAATAATTTTTGTAATTTCTAAGTCCCTCTAGTGTATCTCTCCGGGACTTGTTAGGGTTGTGCCTGACGAAATGACTCCCTCCCCGAAAATAATTTTCCGAATTAAAACCTGACTGAATTAGCATGAGCTCGTAACCTAGAGTCCAGTGTACGGACCCGGAAAAACGATTTTATCAGATAAAGTTGCTTAGGTATTTTCTAAGAATCTTTTTCACTTGAATTTCCCTCACCCCGGAAACCCCTTCCCCGAAGGCTCGAGTGTAACTCTAATTAAAATTATAAAAAACCAGTTTGTTCAGCAAATTTGCTATGTCTTTCTGGCCTAACAGAACGTCGATGTTCACTATCTGCTTTATTACCAATTAATGCCATATAAAATGGCTATAGAAAAATTAATTTTTAAAATTTTTTGATCGTTTGTATTTTTCAACCTTTTCCATTTGTTTATCCAATTTTTTAGCTGCAGAAAGCCAATCATTAATATTTTCAAATGATTGACTATTTGTTACATCATAAACAAAAAGAACACCCTTTTAAATAAAATATGTAAGTAAAATTAAAAAATAATTTGAGGATTTTTACATGAGCTCCAAAAATATATGTATTGAGCATTGAGGGTGAAGCTAGATTATGTCCACCGACATCCCAAAGCTTTTAAATAAATTTATTTTATTTTTTTTCTAAATGGTTTTAGTTTAAAAATAAGAAAAGCGAGTTATTTGATATTTACTAGAAATCGGACTTGGAGTGTCGTACTAAAATCGAGATCTCTCGAAAAATATCTTTCTCGATAACTGAGATTTTTGTTAATCTCTCGGTCGATCTCTGTATGTGGAGGAGTTCCCACATTTCTATGTATATTATATTTTTTTCAGAGTTGCTTATTTCAATTATTAAGATTTTTTCTTTTCTAAAATACCTGAAGAAGTACAGAATTTTGTTGACGTAGTTGAACCCTTCTTGAATAAAAATCCACGCCGGAAGTCTAAAAATAAACTACATGAATCCATTTAATTTTTACTTACTTGAATATATTTTTGTGGAAATGTATGTTGAGCAAGTCTAGAACATATCGATGTTTTTCCAACACCACTATCACCAAGCAAAACTAATTTGAGGGCTTGTTCACCCCCATTTCGTTGATTTCTTCCTTCATCACCTTCCTCTTCGTCAGAGGAAGCCATTTATTTACATAAATTATTTTTAAATAAAAATACTTTAAATAACCATTAAAGTTTTCTTCATAAAAAGTTTTTGTTTTAAATAAATCTTAAGATGTTATTAATTCTTCCATTTCGTGCTTATACATACAATACCATGGAAACTCTAAACAAATTTATTTTATTATTAATTCAACTCTCTAAAAATACTTTTTTAAAAGTTAATTCTAAGTATTCATTAATTTAATATTTAAAGAAAAAATAAATTTTAAAGTAATTTTATTCTTATAAAGAAGCTGAAAATTCATTTAAAAAAACAAAGGGTAACTTTCCCCAACCAATTTTTATCCATCATTTTGCCACTTAAAGCTAATTATGTGTCGTTTTCGTCCCCATAATTGCATATTATGGGAGCTAACCAGTTAGGCTAAAGGAAATACTCAAGGAAGTTGTTTTTGGCACCAAAATCCCGACAGACCCACCCCTCCCTACAAATATTATTAGAATTCTTTTGTAGGTTCGCATAAAGAACGAAAACTGGAAAATTGAAATTTTGTAAAAGCTCTGATTATTTTCTCAGCTAAAGCTTTATAAAGTACAAATTAATTTAAGGGTCTATCTAACACACACTAATCACCACTCTTAAACAAATTAATATTAGAATGATTTATTTATTTATTTAATAAAAAAATAAAGAAACAATTTTTGTGATTTTCAAACAAAATACAAAAATTAAAACAAAAAATACAAAAAACAATTAAATATTCAATAAAAACAAAAATTTCATAAGAAAATTTAATACAATATAGTTGATTAATTGAAAAGAAAAAAATAATGAAAGGAATTAATAAAAATAATAAAAATAAAAAAATAAAATGAAATTTTTGTGATTTTTTTGTATTTTTTAATAAATTTAATTCTAAATAAAAATGAACAGAAAAATTAATAAAAATTGAAAATAAATAAAAAGAAAAGAATATAACGTGTAATTCTGAATGTTCCCTTTCGCCTACAACACTTAAACTTGAAAGAAATAAATTATCAAATAATCCACTTATTAAATAGACAATTTGTAGATATTTATCTGTTTTTAATTAAATTAATTATTTTAAAATATTAAAAAATTTTTTTATTATGGATGGCTGAAAGTTTTTGCCCTATAACTAGAATTGGCGGTCCAAGATATCCAAGACTGAAGAAAGTCGGCATATCCGAAGATTTTTTATGAACCGCTAATTCTTCCTATAACTACACCTTTACAACCTAATTTTTAGAACCCTTCCTGCTAGTTTGGAATGTTTAAAAGGATTTGAGAAATCCCTTTTAAATTTTAAAAATAAATTAAAAGAAATACTCACTTGGAGTAATTTTAGGCAAACATTTTCTTGTAATAAATTTAACATTACTTTTTTGAATTATTTGAATATTTTCTTTAAATTTTTGTTTTGAAAAGGAAACTAAAAAATTAATTAATTTTAATTTAAATTATTTAAAAAAATTTTTACAAAAAATATGTAAAATAATTAATAAACGTAAAGGTATGTGAAGAAGTATTAAAAAATTCCAAACAATTCTTTCTGCTGGTAAATTCAAAATTCGTGAAATTGAAGGCAAATATGCTATCTTCAATTTAAATTTTAAGTGAAAATTTTATCATTAAAAAATTATTTTGTTGCTATTCTGTTTAAGTAAAAATTGGAATTAAATTAGGGTTTGTAATTTTTCGATAATACAGAATTTTGTTTAGCTTAAAAATTTTTTTAATTGAAAGCTCTAGTAATTTAAATATTATTCAAAATTAATTATTTAAATCATAATGTTTTCTTTAAAAAATTTAACTCTGTTGAATTTGTTTCTAAATTTTTATTTGGGATAAATCCATGAGGTCAACTCCAAATATTTGAGTAGATAAAGGGAACCTAGGATCAAGAATACGTTGGCCTGCTCTCTTTTGCCTTATCGACAGTTGAACGAGAAACCCCCTTAATTCCAACAAATCCCTCTTAATCCGCTCAAATGCTTTTAAATCCCCTCTAATCCCCACAACTGTTTCCTAATCCGCAAAACCCTTTATACGCCCAAATATTTAGAGTTGCTTTCTGGGGGACCCTTTTATTTTACTTACCCCACAAGTCCATTCATAACCAAAAATTTGTTCAGAATGGAATAATATAGCTATAGCAAAAACAATTAAAATACCAAAAAAAGGGGGTAAAATAGTTAAAATAATTATTTGTTTAAATTTAATTAAATAAATTAATTTTAAAGGATAAAATAATGAAGGTGAAGGAAAGGAAGAGGAAGTAGTAGGGGATGAAGAGGAGGAGGAAGAAGAAGAAAAAGTGGAAGAGGGGAAAAAGGAAAAGGATTTTTGGGATAAAAACATAAATAGAATAAATAATTATTTTGATTATTTTGATATTTATTAAATGGTTAGAGGGAATGTTTGCGCAATATTAATATTTTTATTCTTCATATCATCTTCAAATGACCTCGTAAAATCAATTTGGACCGTTAAATGATTGATTAGAAAATTAATATTTTGCAACATAACTAAATGATATACAAAAATAAATAAATAATTGAATCAAACATTTTATTGTTAAATAAATAATTGTTTTTTTTAATTATTTAAAAACCTTTGTTTATTTTATTTTTATATTTCAGAATTTCTGGTTTTATTTTTTTAATTAAAATAACAATAACAGTATCTACATATAACAGTATCTTTGATTAAATATTTAAAATATTCCTCCAAAACATATTCTCACAAAAATTTTTTTCTGATGCTACATAATGAAAAATATATTTATTAGTTAGGAAAATATACTTAAAGCAAATGAATGCCTAAATAAAAATACTTTTAATAGGTAGACTTGATAAAGTTCTATTCAAAACATTCAAATATTTTTCTTTATTAAGTTGAAGTTCTTTTGATGTTCTTTCTACAATTTATTTATTTTTTATTTAAAAATTATTTAAAATTATATTTTTTATTAAAAATATCCTTGTCTTTCCATAACCTGATTTAATTTAATAAAAAATTCTGATTTTTAGAGAAATTAAAATTAAATTCTGAAAATGACTGAAGAAGAATCTTCAACTTCTGAGTTTGACCCACTTGTAAATTTAACTTTAATTTAAATAAAATTAATTTTTAAAATTCCAGCATTTTGTACTCAAACAAAATGATAACATTATACAACTTCAATCGAATTTTAACAATATTCAATTTAAATTTATGGAAGAAATGAAAAAGACTTCTTCACTTGAAGAGAAGAATATTAATGTTCAAAATGACATGAAGATTTTGACAAAAGAAATTAATCAGGTCTGGGGGGTTTATTTATATTTTAATTAATTCAATGGAGGTGGTTAGTTGGAGTGTTGCCATTTGGCCTGCCCTAATTTCTGGATCCTTTTTTAGACAAAAGAGCTTAATGAGTTGAATTGAAAGTAAAAAATTAGCGTAGAAGTCGAGATTTTAAATTTTCAGTGACTACTTGGTTATATAGTCTCAAATAAATGAGATACCCTAAACGAATCCCCTTAAAAATATTTTAAAATAAATTAAAATAAATTTAATTTTAGTTTATGGGAGATAAAGAAAAGTTTGTTACTAAACTTGAAGAGAAAAATTTGTCTTTAGAGAATGAAATTAATAAGGTAAGTTGTGGCTAAAATTATATTTTCAGGTTAACCTTTAATTTTAGAAAATTCACAAACTAAATTCTGATCATGAGAATGAAATAAAAGAATTAAAACAAACATTTAAACAATTAATTGATGATAAAATAAAAGAAATTGAAGATAAATTTTTGGAAGAGAAGGGAAGAAATGAAAATGAGAAGAAAATAATTGAGGAGAAAAATGGGTGTTTAGAAAATGACATGAAAATTTTAAAAGAAGAATTACAGCAATTAATTGATGAAAAAATTAAAGAAAATGTAAAAAAATAATTTTAATTTAAATATTTAAATTTATTTTAGACTAATCAAATTTCTGATTTAAATCAAATTATTGAACAAAAAGATGAAAAAATTATTTCTTTGGAAGAAAAATTTAATCAGGTATTGGAAAGTAGTTAATTCTTAAGGCTGTCGGCGTGGCCACATCAGTCCGGTCTATGAAGATGTAGAGAAAGAATGGGAATCTTTCTTCTCTAATTAGGGTAGGTCTTAAAAAGGGTAGTCTGAATCCAGCGACAGAGAGATTGGGAATATTCTCTCTAAGGTTAAAACAAAATAAATTCTTTTCCAGACAAAGTTTATTTATTCACAAATAAAATATATTAAAGTAAGGTAGGCTTAAAATTGCTAATGTGAAGCAAGGAAAGGAATAATTGGTAATAGGAAGAATAATGTAAACTGAACATACGACTGATCGGTAATAGGAAAAGGAATGTAAACTGAACAACTGAACGAAAAATAGGAAAAGCGAATAAGCATATATACAAAGAAATATGGACACAGGAAAGAAAATATACAAGCTAAAGTTTATGTTGATAGAAAAGGCTGGGAAAATTCTTTAGATCTACATATTTAGATAAGGAGTACAAAATAAAATGATTTTATGGAAAATAAATAAAATTTATGAGAAAAATAAAAGTTATATTTCCGACTTCGCGAGACCCGTCGCGACAAAGATGCTGGTTCAATCCTAGCCGCCTAATACTCTTTAATACTAGCTGAAGGAGTTGAATAGCTATGTATAGCCCAGCTATAGCTATCTAAGAAAAAATTACAAAAATTAATTAATTAAAATTTAAATAAATTTTAGATAATTCAAAAAATTCAATATGAGAATGAAAATAAAATAGAAGAAATTAAACAGAATTTTCAACAATTATTTGGTGAAATTAAAGATAATCAAATTTTAGAGAATTAATTTATCTGAAGAAGAAATTAAAAAAGTATTTTTGAAAAATTAATTTTTAAAATTAATTAATTAAAAGGTGAATGAATTATTTGGGAAAAAGATGGAGGAGTTGACAATTAAATTGGAACAGTTTTTTAAATTTACTTGTAAATTTGTGGTTGGTTTTTAATTAAATTTAAATTTAAAATATTTATTCTTTTAGAATTTTATACAAATTAAAAATAAATGGAAGGAAATTTTTAATTTAAATGATACTAGTAATGACAATGATTTTTATAATTGTTGTGAAAAGAAATGTATAAATACAAACAAAGTTACTGGAAATTGTGTTAAACAAAATGGTTTTGTTAATATAACTAGCGATATAAATATTAGATATATTAATTCTGTTTCGGGAGGAGGTAAATTATTTTTGAATTTTCTTTTCAAAAATTAGTTGGGTTTTTCCTGATTCCGAATTTCAAATTTTTGCGGGCACCAAAATATTGTAGACCGATATTTGTGTATTTGAATCTGGTCTCCGCGTTCAGAATTTTACCGGAGAATATAAAATAAATTTTGAATATATTATTTTTTAGGTCATGATAAAAGTGGCAGAGTAATTGCCGAAAATAAATTTGAAAAGCCCCAAAATTGCATTAATTACTCTTTATTTTATTTTGAGATTAAATGCCAAATTACTGAAGCTAGGAATTTAAGTCAAAGTTTTGCAATTATTGGACTTATAGATGGGACCAAGCGTGTCAGATTTATTACAAATAAATCGTTAATTAAAAATGAAAAAGATGAAGAATTTACAGTAACATTGAGTCGAGGTTCTTCTGATGTTTATGGATGTGGATTAGTATATCCACCAAATAATAGAATGTCTGAAGAATTTCCATATATTTTCTTCACACAAAATGGGAAACAAATTGGTTTGAAAGGAAAATAAAAATTAAAAAATATTTTTTTAAGGTAAAGCTGTGCATTTGAAAGAGAATTTTGATTTAGTATTTAAACCTTTTGTTACACTGAAATGTTTTTCTGTAGATACAAACTTTGGACATGATTTAAAAGCTAAACCTTTTTCTTATGATATTACAAGACATTTTATTCTTAATGAATTTTATTGAAATGTATATTTTTAGATAAATAAATATTAATAATTCTAAATATTTTTATTGGACCTCAATAAATCAATTCTCCTGCAGAAAAAATCCCACATTAAAGTAAAATAAGGAAATCAAAAATAATCAAAATTTATAATCAAAAATAAAGGATAAGCTGGAAAGGAAGAAAAACGGGGAAACACATTTAAAAATTAATTTGATATCGAAATAATTTTCTAAATTGTTAATTAGTAGTTAACCCAACGGGACCTTCGCCCTAAACAAACAAACCTAAATCCTTTCAACATGTTTTTCGGCAACATCAAAGGATAAATTGTTCGGAATCCCCTAATCCTTTTAAATGTTTTTGAGGTAAGATCAAAAGACACTCAATACTCAATTCCTAATACAAACAGAACAATATTTTCAATCATTTTAGTTTTAATCTATTTTACCCAGTTCTAAATATATTTGAATAATTCCCTCATTCCATTTTTCAAATGTTTCACACTCAGCTTATTCAAATAGTTGCCTTTCAACTTTTTTTTCTTTTATTAATCAAATACATTTTCCTTATGTTTTTATCATCCTACCGCCCTTCCCAGTCCCTATATATATTTCAATGCTATCTTTGAACTATTTCTCTAAAAAACAGGACTTATGTTTACTGATCATTTATCTTATTTAGCTTATTTATTTTTAGATCAATTTTAGTTAGAAATGGGGGAACGTCACGTTATAGAAGAAATATTAGATGATAAAGTTGAAGAAGACGAAATATTCTACCTAGTTAAGTGGGTAGGTTACACGAATCGGCACAATGCCTGGATATCGGAAAATGATCTGGTTTATTTAAATAAGCATTCAATTTTTTTCTTTTTCCCAAGGATGCTGATTTTCTTTTGCCCCAATATCTAAAGAGGAAAGAAAATAAAATATTCGAAGAATTTGATGAAGAAAACCAAATAAATGAAAAAGGAGAATTCTTTGAAAAAATTAGGTTATTTTTTATTTTTCGAAAACTATTAAGTTAAAATTTGAGTGAACTTCTTGACTGGACACAAAAATGTTCGGAACAAATAAATTTATCTTGTGATACCTCTGCATCAACAAAAGAAGCATTAAGAAGGAATTCAGAATTACGTAAACAGATAGATGGAAAACAATTTGAATTTGGTTATGTTGAAGAATTAGGACAACGTTTAATTGAAAAAGGATATCCTAAAGAACAAGTAAAAATAAATCGAAAATTGAAGGAATTAAAAAATGTAATGAATGAATTAGAAGGTTTTTGGGAAAAGAGAGAGGTTTGATTATTTTTACTTTTAATTAATAATTCAAGAACAAATCCGTTTTTAAAAAGATTTTGCTTTAATGGAATGGAGTACTATTCTTTATCTCCCCACTTGTACTTAACTGTTCGATTGCAACTTTTGTCTTTCCCTTTCTTTCTCTCTCAAGTATTAAAAAAAGGGGAGAACTTTCTAACTTTAATGAGTGTCCGACCAGAAATCGATGTGGGGATGTGCATTCATTTATAGCGTTAATATTGATAAAATATGGGGTTTCCGGAGTTTCGTGTTTTAGTTCAGTAAGCCCGGCTCGTGTCAACTTGAATGAATAAAATCGAATGCCGACCTCAGACTTGTTTATATTCTTTATGAAGATAAAGAAAGAAGGAGAAGGAAAGACAGAAGGTTGTGGATAGATTACCGAATAGTAGATTACCGAATTAGATTACCGAATTTTAACCTAAAAAAAGTCCGCAAGTTTTGTCCGCAAAAATCTTTAACAATTTAATTTTAAGGATAAATGTCGTCAATTATTGGAAATGGAAGAATTTACAAGTGAAGCTGACAGTATTAATTCTTTAAATAAAGAACAACTAGCTTTTCTTGCAATTTCTTCAAAATCTGATTCTCTAGAGAAAGTGCAAAATTTATTGAAAGAACAGACTGAATTCGAGGCTAAACTTTCAGCAAAAGAGGTGAAAATAATTTTTATTTTGTTTTTAAACTTAGTTTTTATTGATTACAAAGTCTAGGGATTCCTTTACTATTAATATGAGTAAATTTTGGTAAAAGTTCGGCAGACCTCCACTTCCTTTATTTTATTGAATTTTTCCTTTTCTATGTCAATTTTACAAAAAAGCTCTTCGAACTGAGTTGAGTGGCACTAAAATCAACAAAATCTGATTTGATAGGCAAAGTTATGCCCATTTGTTTTGATCCCTGTCAGTGATATAAAACGTTTTTAGTTAGACAAGGATTCGCTTCATAATTTGTTCAAAATAGGCAAATATAATCGATCATGGTATCGTTCGACCTGCTCGAAGAGCTCTTTCAATATATTGATAGATTATAGATAAAAAGCTCAAAATGATCAGGGAAACGTGAAAAAAGACCGTTCAGACGAAATACCACCTTAATTTTTATTTTTTAAAAATAGGAGAGGGTTCTACTTTTTGTTGCTTCTGCTGACCGTTTGATACGCACCGGACACTCACAATCCGCACAAATTGAAAATCAAAAACGAGAAGTAATTTATGGACATCAAGGGGTTATTGAAAGAACACAACTGAGAAGAGCACAGTTAGAGAGAGGATTAGCACTTGTAAATTAAATAATTAAATTGACAATTATAATACAAATTTTTTAGGAAGGATTGCGAAGAGATGCTAGTGTATTGGATTTTTGGATTAATGAGAAAAGACATCAAATGGAACAACAAATTGAAGTTGGAGGGGTTGGAGCTCTTAATTGGGCACAGACAAGACATCAAGCCTTTATGCTAGAATTGGCAGCTAATCGAGCTGAACTTAGTAGACTTGCAAAAGTAGGTGGTTTGTCACTTAAAATACGCTATTTAAACACTTAAAGGAATTCGTTTGGAATTCGCCCCCTTTTTTTTCTTTTCTATTTTTTCCTAGTTTTTTCTAATTTTATGGCAAATTATACATCATTCGAAAGAGCTCTTCGAGCTGAGTCGAATGACAGCAAAATTAACGAAAACTGACTCAAGTAAACAAAGTTATGACCGTTTATTTTACCTCATTAGATTGTCACAAAAAGTCTTCTCAATAAGGATTTAGTCATAATTTTGGTAAGAATGATTAGATCTTCCAATCATGGTATAATTCAACCAAGCTCGAAGAGCTTTTTCGAATAATTTATGATAAACTATGTATCGAACAAAAAAAACTCAAGTCAGGAAACGTTGAAAAAAAAGGGGGGCGAATTCCAAACTATTACCCACTTAAACCTCTCAAAACTTTCAGTCAGGTGCAGCACTAATCCGCGATGGTGTTGCTGAAAGAGAAGCTGTCGCTAATGTTTTAGAGCCTCTTGAAGTTGAATTGACTAAACTTGAAACGCTTGCACAACAGAGAGGTGATCTACTAGACCAAGAAAAGGAAAATTTACCTCAAGGACAAGTAAAGAAGAAGAGGACTAGAAATAACGCAAGTTTAATAAATTAAATTAATTAAGAATCATTCTAGGAACTAAGTTTAAAATAAATAGAAATGGATGAGATGAGGCCTTGAAATAATCTCGGATATCAAGATCGAATTTTCCGCGAAAATATTTAAAAAATTTTTAAAGTTTGCAATATTTTCCGAAAGTAAGACAATATTTTACAAAAAAATTTTCATGAAGCGCCGAAAAACAAAAAATATGGACAGATATATATATAACTTAAATCTGCCTGGTTAATCTACCTTGTATTTTTGAGATTTACGAGATATCTCGTACGACACTCCCAGTCCGGTTAATTTTCCGTATAAAAGGTAGATTAAAAATCTGATACATGTCATATATAAAGCCCATGCCGTAGGTGGTGGGCCCACGCCGTAGGTTGTGGACCAAGGTCCACGCCGTAGGTGGTGGGCCCACGCCGTAGGTGTGGGCTTTATAAGTGGGTATTTTTGAGATTTCTCGGGATATCTCGTACGACACTCCCAGTCCGGTTAATTTTCCGTATAAAAGGTAGATTAAAAATCTGATACATGTCATATATAAAGCCCATGCCGTAGGTGGTGGGCCCACGCCGTAGGTTGTGGACAAAGGTCCACGCCGTAGGTGGTGGGCCCACGCCGTAGGTGTGGGCTTTATAAGTGGGTATTTTTGAGATTTCTCGGGATATCTCGTACGACACTCCCAGTCCGGTTAATTTTCCGTATAAAAGGTAGATTAAATTCTGATAAATGTCATATATAAAGCCCACGCCGTAGGTGGTGGGCCCACGCCGTAGGTTGTGGACCAAGGTCCACGCCGTAGGTGGTGGGCCCACGCCGTAGGTGTGGGCTTTATAAGTGGGTATTTTTGAGATTTCTCGAGATATCTCGTACGACACTCCAAGTCCGGTTATCTTATCGTATAAAAGGTAGATCAAAATTCTGAACAAATTATATATAAAGTCCGCGCCGTAATTTGAAAGTCTCGGTCTCATCCATTTAGAGAGAGAGGATCTACGTCTCATCCATTTTTTATTCCATTTTTTTATAAGTCTCCGTCTCATCCATATTTTTTTACATTAATTTTTCCAATTTAAATACTTTCAGAGAGTATGCGGCGATGAAAGGAAAAGGCGAAAATTGGAAGAACTTAAACAACAACAAAAACAAATTTAAATTTTTTAAATATTATTCTTCAAAAATAAATTATTAAAAATAAAAATTTTTTTAAATTTTTATTTAAAATGAAAAATTGGTAAAATATTTATATGAGTAAGTTGGTTAGAGCTGTCCAAGAGCGAAAAATTTGCATGACCCGAGACTAAAGTACTAACAAAATTTTTTGGTTTATTTTTCGTGACTTTGGCATATGATATATAATTTCAAAAGTTTAAAGGAAATAAATCAAAACTTAAATTAAATACAGGGCTTGTGAAACGAAGGCGCTTAAAATATCGTTTTCTAAAGGAAAATTTTTCTCCATTCTATGTATTCCTTTTGTGTCCACTCGAAAAATTTTGAGAATTTGAAAGGCTCTTTTTTACAGTTTTTAACTTTCTCTCCCCTTTTCTCCCGTCTAAAAATTTTTCGCTCTTTCTTTTAGTGATGTATTTTTCAAAAGCTTTAAAGTCTGGACAAGGAACATTTCACCAACAGAACCAAGACCGAAAACCCCACTAAAAGTCTTATGGCAAGAATCAAGTCCGAATGTCCCGGACAGCTCTAAAGTTTGGGCACATTTTAATCAAAATTGGCTAAAGTATTAAATAAGCATTAAATAAAATTAACAGCCCAGAAAAATTTCATTATCAAAAAATTACTTAAACAAATATTTAATTAAAGCACATATTAACTTATGTTACCTAAAAATCCAAACAGTCCTGCTTCTTATCATTCTTGAACGTCTGTGTATTTTGTCCACACAAAGGACATGTGGGACATTGAATTTTTTTCCATGCGATTGAAACTCGTTCTTTCGCATGTTTTAAACAAAATACATCATGGCCACAAAATCCAGCAAAATCAGCTGGATCTTTACACTTTTTAGCAATGCAGATTTCTCCACCAAGCTTCTTTTTATGAAGCTTGGTGGAGAAATTGTTTCCATTCATTACAGCAGGTAGATCAACTAAGGAAAATTTTTTTAATTGTTTATACTGATTAAGAAATAACTAAATGTATGCTCACAATTTGAGGTAGATTGAACATTTGAATTAAGGTCCCAGTCTTCATCATTTAAATTTTCTTGTAACCCTACAGTAAGGAGTAGATCATTTGCGACTGAATAGAATCAAATTAAGGCAAGATAGTAAATATACCTCTGTCGGAAATAGGATATGCTCCGCATCGATGAGGTGCCAATACTTTATTTCGCTCAAAATTTCGCATCGAGCTAAACAGATCCAATTGTACCTGGCCAATGGAAGGGGCAAAAGGCATTATGAAACGTCGAGATGCGGGTACCCGAAATAGAAAAAATTAGTACAATGAAATAGAGAATAAATAAACCCCTTCGGACCACTTTTCTAACGTTTCTACACGTATTGCATTATTTACCATAGCCATGCGCAAAATTTGGATAGAACGTTTATCCTCCTGTTTTTCTTCGCGCAATAGCTGAACTTCAGATCGCAAAAGCTTTATTTCAACAAGAGCGCTTGCGAGATCCTTCATTTTTACAAAGTCGGACATTTTAATTAAAAGATTTTAGAAAGACAAAAGCTAAAATAGAACAATTTATTAATAAAATGATAACAATTAAATTTTATGAGAAAACAATTAAAAATTCAAAGAAAATAAAAAAATTAAAAACATAAATGAAATATATTTAAAAATAATAAAGTATAAAATATTAAATAAAAATATCAACTAAAATTCATCGAGAAATAAATATTTCAATGTTTTTGACCATTCTTTATATATATTCTCCACCCATTTGCCAAGCGTTGCTAATCTGCTAAAAATAATATAAGATCTGCATTTACTCAAAAAACTATAACTTTCAATTCTCAAAACAAACGGTGAATTGTTTATTTGCCAAGACTTTTTTCTACAATTGCGCAATCATTTACTGAATAATATCTCTCTTTAGGATAAAAGGAGTAAAAATAGTGGACAGAATTTTTATAAGTGTCAAGATCTAATATAAATTTCTAGACCGGCAATAATTAATCTAAGAGGAAAGAAAAGGATTAGAGATTTTTTTTTAATAGCGTAAACAAAATTTATATATTTATTTACCAAATAGTAAAATTAAACAAAATTGGAAAAGAAAAAGCAAAAAATTAATTTTAATTATCAATTTTAATTATATCCGTTTTATCTTCAACTTTTCTATACTTCCTTTTTGTCTTATTTGATAGTAAATCTGTTGCTTCACAGTTATCTAATGCACATTTTTCACAAAATTCAATTTTAAGAATTATTTTATCCCCTTGACGAATTATTTTATCTTGAGAGTTAAAAAGACGTTTCTGACAATCTGTAATAAAAAATATTAAAAAGTTTTTTCGAATTTAAAAAATTACCATAACATAGATGGTATTGTAAAACTGTTTTTCCCTTAGTTAACTTCCAGAGGTGAGTTGCGGTTTTTGATGTTTCTTTGCTATATTTTGGAAACAATTTTTTCTCATTAGATTTATTTGGCAATTCTTTGATAATTTTAGGAGAATCTTTCATTTCTAATGATTTATTTAGTTCTAAGACAGGAGGAGGAATGAGAGGATTGAATTCAGGGATTTCGAGATTGTCCATTTTTTGAAAATTTTTAAAAATGATTTTAGAAAATGAACGGGAATGAAAAATATCAACCCTTCCACCATTTTCATCGAATTTTCAATTCATTCTAAATATTTTAAAGAAATCTTTAATATCCAACTATTCATTTCTAACATTCATTCATAAAATCTAATTTTTTAAAATGGTACTTCTAATCGATGAGGTTGCAAAAATATTAAAATGCAATGTTAAATCTCTAAGAGACGAGCTTAATCATCCCTCTAATCGTGAACTTATTTTGAACAAATTAAAAGGAAAAAAGCTTAGAACAACTTATAAAGATAATAATGGATTTTCTAAAACAATTTTCTTTGACGATCTTAGCAATAAAGGTGCAAACAATCTTCAAGCATATGGCCGTCTTTCTAAACACTTTAATGTTACCGTAGCGGCACATTTTTATGCACGCCACAGAATTAGATTATTTCATCCCTTTCTTCATTGCGTCATTGAGTCCTTTCATCGAGGAGAAAACCGCTTTTATCCGTTGGAATTGCTTGAACTTATTGAGGAAAAGGAAAATCCAAAAATATTTATGAATATTTTTAAAAGTGACACTTCAGAGAATCTAAACAAAACTCTCATCCGAGAGAAGAAAAAATCAGCGACTCTTTCAGATATCGAAGAGGAGGATGAAGATGAAACCTATCTAGAATTTGTTAATGGATGGTAATGTGTTTCTGAATAAATTACAATTCAAACACCTATTTTGTTAATTATTCCTAAATTGTATCTTCTCATTACTAATTTTGCTATTTTTCCCCTAAAAATACTATCTTCCTAACATTAATATTTCATAAATTGACTCTTTAAAATAAATTTATTTGTAATAAATATTATGAAATGGTAAAACAATTTGAAAAATAATTAAAGAGATAAACTCTTAACAAAACCAAAGTCTAAAACAGAAAAATCTGTCGCGGAAAAAGCAATCCGCGAATAATAAAAATTTATAACTCACACAAATTTTAAGCAAAAACAAATTAAGATTTTATTTAAAAGCAATTAAAAGTTTTTCCAACAAAAATATATTAGCTAAAGCAAAGTTCAGTCAAAAGTTGAAAAGCAATTTTTTTAGAATATTTTTAGAATGAAGAAAAACAGAAAGGATAGAGCAGATATATAAAAAAAAGGGTTGGACAACAAAAATAAAAAAAGGCACAAAGAACGACCAATCAAACAAAGGCGGTTAAAAAATACATTTTAATTTAAGTGAATGCAGGTGTTTTGATAAAAACAAATATGTTTTTGTTTAATGGAAAAAAGGGGTTTTAAATTTTAAATAAGAAAAAGGGAATTCTTTAATTTTAGACATTCGTAAAACGACATTCCCAGCAACGGAAAGTTCAATTTCTTTTATTCCAATAGTATGATGTTGGTGAATGTTTGTTGTTAAAGTAAGGGTGAGGGAGGCGTTGTATTGTTGGTGGACCAGGAATGCGGATAGACATTAAGGGTGGTGGACGAGCAACAGCAGCCAAATTTCGAATTGGAGAACCAAAACCACCATTTTGAATACCATAAGAGCGGCCGGATAAATTAAAAAATAGAGGATTTTTTGTGGAAAATGTCTCATTACCTCTATGGACAAGGACGGCTTTTGCTACCGGTAAATTATTGAGTAGGTGCTTTTTTGTGTAAACATTATTTGGAGCCGTTGTTTTTTCATTTGTATTAGTGGCTGGTGGAGTTGTTGTATTTGATGGGGGGTAAATTCTTGGTCGTTTGTTGTTTGGTTCAATACAGTCGTTGTTGGGTTTGCTGGGTTCAGTAGAAACAATTATAATGGATTTAGGTTCTGGGAGGGGTTCTGGGCTTTGTGCCTCACTAATGGTTGTTTCAATGGAAAGAGCAGGTGAAGGGGGTGTTTTTGGTCGTTCCATTTGTATTTTGGCTGGTGAAGTTTCCGGTTTAGGTTTTTGCTGTAAATTAAGATGTTGGAAGATAATTTCGAGGGAAGATTTTTTATCCTTGGGCATAAGGCTGTTAAAAAAATTAAATTAAAAATTTGAAATTTATTTAAATTATTGGGGCGTATTGTTAACCTGAGCTGCTAATTGCCTTAAAATTTTAGTTCGCTTTCATTCAAATTTTTAATATTGTTTGGGGGCGGTTCAGGGCGTTTGCGTGCGGTGAATGTTTTGTAAGCAAAAAGGGTTATTGCTGCAAGAAGGGTTATTATAAGGAGGGTGATTGCTGCTAGAATTAGTGAGCTTAGATCTGGGTTGTCGAGTAAGTATGCAGCAAGGTAGTCAAGACCCAAATAAGCAGCAGAGGAGGCTAAAAGGCTGGCAGAAGCTTTCCCGGTCCATTTTACAGTTTTGCGCAATTTGGAATTACGTTTGGGATTTCCAGCTTCTATTATTGGGGAGCAAATTAAAAGAATTAAAATTATGGCCATTAATGTAGGTGGAGGAATCCAGGCATTTCGTTGGCGGTTTTTGCAATTTTGTTTGATTTTGTAAATTATAAGGAGGCTCGAGCAAATTAAAGCAAAAATAAGTAGGCCTATTATTATATATAAGTGGTCATTAGATTTTTGGGTGTTGAGGGTTATAAGGAAATCAGCAGAAAAAATCTCAAGGGATATAATAGATCCCATCGCAATGAATTTGAAGTAAATTTTTAAATTAAAAAATGAAGCAGCAAAAAGCTAAAATGAAGAATGATTAGTTTAATTTATAGTAAAATTTTTATGGTTTAGTAGGCAGGTGGGAATTCCAATTTGTTTACATTTATTTACAAAAGGGGGAATATTTACAATTTACTTATTTTATTTAAAGTTTATTTTTAGCTTATCTGCTTTATACAAAGGGTGCTGGGTTTTTTGCTCTCTTTTGTATTAGCTGCTGTTTCACCCACATTCGTATTAGCTGCTGGCTCACACATTCTTTCTTCACTTTCCTTTTGTGTTTCGAGGGGGCAAAGATGGCCGATTGATCTTTCGAACACTCGACCCTTACCCGATGGGGAAATGATTCGTACTTTGGCCTTGTCTGGTTGGCCGAGTGTATTATTTGAAATTTGCAAAATTATGCCGGTTACCCATCTTGATTGTGGAAGAAAATCTTCAGAGATAAGAACCAGATCTCCTATCATTGGGGTTTTTTGATTTTTTGGGGTAATTTTTTGGTATCTTTCACGTAACGATGTAAGGTAGTCTTCTTTCCAATATTTCCAAAATAATTTTGATGCGGTGCTAAGCTTGGACCACAAATTAAGCAAGTGTGATGGGTCACTGGGGGGCAAGGGATTGTAAGTAGGATCTTCCAGTGCGTCGGTATTTGGGAATGGCAAAGGTTTAATTTCTCTTAATGGCTGCAGAAAATTGATTGGGCAAAGTGGCCGAGGATCTGCTGGATTTGAGGAGTCAAAAGTAATTGGCCTGCTATTTATTATTGTGGTTATTTCTGTTAAGCAAGTGCGCACTGAGTTTAACGAATTAATTTTTGGGTAAATGCCTTTAGAGAGTGTCCGTTTTAGATGATGCTTGATTATTGCCATAATTCTTTCATAAAAACCACCTTTCCAAGCTGCCATTGGACATCGAAATTTAAATTTTATTGCGCTAAATTTTGGGTCGGATTTAGCTGCGTGCAGATTTAATACCTTTTTTGTGTGATTAAAAGTCGGGGCGTTATCGCAAAATATCGTTTTTGGATCGTGATTGGCTAAAAATCGCCTTAGACTTTCAAAAAATGACTGAGTTGTTAGGTCGGGGTCTATGTCTAGAACAATTGCACGGGTGACAAGGCAAACAAAGACCGCTATCCAAATTTTTGTCTGTTCGCTTTTCTTTTTATTTCGCCTAGCATCGGCGCTTTTAGCTGAGAATTCTGAGCAGGTATGGACGTATATCGGCCCACAAAAATCTAGTCCGACGAAGGTAAAGGGAGGAGCAGGATTTACTCGTTCAGCGGGGAGTGGGGGAAAATTGGGTAAATCGAATGGTTTGGCAGTATATCGGCGGCAGGTAAAGCAATTATTGTGTAATATGTGGGTTACTGTGCGGCGCCCGCTTGGGATCCAATAATTTCTTCGGATGAGTGCCAGTGTCTGTAAAGGACTAGTATGTTGCCCTAGTAGGTGAGTTTCGCAAACAATGAGCTTAGTCAATTCAGAATGTGGTGGCAAATAAATGGGGAATTTAGTTGAATTAGGCAAGCAACTATTGGACATTCTTCCTTTACAACGTAATAAGAGGTCATTTCCTTTAAATATGCCGAGAGATAAGCAGGCACTGTCGTCAGGTGGCATTCGCTCTTGCTCTAGTTTTAGAAGAATGGAAAGCGAAGCGTTTATTTCCTTTGGGCTGATTGTTCGGGAGGAGGATCGGAAAACGTCGCTATTTGCATAAAGAGTGAGCGGAGTATTTTTTGTCTTGGCAATAAATCGCAAGGCATATGCTGTAATTCGCAATAGGTGTGGGAGGCGAGAGAACCGAAAAATTGGGAAAACAGGTTCTTCTATAGTAATTGCGTTGGAAAATGAATAAATCTCTAGAGGGGCTGTCGGGGGCAATTTTTCAATTTTATTTTTAAATATTTCAGATGAAAATTTTTTAACTTGCGGGTGTTCTGGCCAATCAGAAGAAGTCAGCCAGCTTGGGCCATACCACCACAAATGGTTATTTTGAAAAGCATTGATGTCCATTTCGCCCCTTGTGGCTAGGTCCGCGGGGTTTTCCTTTCCAATTACGTGTTGGACGATTAAATTATTAGTGGATCGTATTTCAGAAATTCTGTTGTTGACAAAAATGTCGTTGATTGTTTCAGTATTATTTAGCCAGTTAATTACCGTTGAAGAGTCAGTCCACAGAAAATACTTCTCTTCAAGTTTAATAGAGGGGGAGAGGTGTTTTTGCACGAAATTGAGGGCCCGAGTTGCAATTAGTGTTCCCAACAATTCTAGTCGGGGAATAGTGTATGGGGAATTTTTAGCTTTAGCTTTTGGTTTTACTTTAATTTTCGAGAAAAGTAGCGAGGTTTCTACCTCGTTTTTAGTTAGATTTGTGGTCCTTAAGTAAATTGCTGTAGCGAAGGCGATCTGCGAAGCGTCTGAGAAAGCGTGTAATTGGAAGGTTATATTAGTCGGATCAAAGGAAAAATTCCTACGGGGAATTTTAATAGAGGAGGCATTCCAATTTTTGTTTAATTTGGTCCATTCCTTAACAGCTTCTGTAGGTAATTCAGTGTCCCATCCGAGCGAGGGAGTAATATTCCAAAGCGATTGCATGAATATTTTTGTCGGTAACAATAAGGGTCCGATCAGTCCAAGAGGGTCAAAATGTGAGGCAAAGAATGCAAGGACTTTTCTTTTTGTTAGTGGTTGCTCAGGAAGGGGATTTAATGCCAGAGAGATTTCATCTAGGTCTGTTTCCCATGGTATGCCTAGGAATTTTTGTTTGGAGCCTGTCAATCTGTACGAGTCGGGTAAATGGTTAATAGCATTTATTTCATTGCTGGAAAATTCTCGCAGAGGCATAGAAGCCGCATCAAATATTTCAATCGCTTTTAAACATTTTTCTTGTGCTTCGCTTGTTTTTTGTGCAGAGAATAGTATATTGTCGACATATATGTTTTGGCCTATTTCTTTCGAGAGTGGGGATAGATTTTGGTGGAGGTGATGAGTTATTGTTGCCGCTAGTAGGTAAGGACTGCAGGTTAAACCGAAAGAAACACGGCAAAAGCGATAGCACTGTATATTTTGGGAAGAGAATGGCTTGTTTATGTCCAAAACCCAAAGAAATCGGGTTGCGTCACGATGAGTTGGGGAGACTTCTATTTGCAGGAAAGCTTTGGCAATGTCACAGACAACCACTATTTTTGGCAATCTAAAGCGCAGTAGGACTCCGATTAATTCATTCATCAAAAGAGGGCCAGGGTAGAGCGTGTCATTTAAAGAGGGAGAGTTTTTTGATTCGCGCGCAGAGCCGTCATAAACAATGCGCATTTTATTTTTATCTAGCCGAATTACGGGTTGGTGGGGTAAGTAATGCAAGGGAGGCGAAAATTCTTTAATATTTTTTACAGGCTCAATTATTCCTAAATCCAGCTGTTCTTTAATAATTGCATTGTATTTAGTCAAATTTTCTGGGTTTTTATTTAGTGAGTTGAGAGTCGATCGGAGGCGTCCCCAGGCTAAACCGAAATTTGAAGAAAGCGAAATTTGTTTGGGATCGCTTTTGAAAGGCAAAGCTACTTGGTATCGCTTGTTTACCATTTTTATTGTTTTTAGAAAGGCTTTGTGTACTGTATCGTCATTATTTTCTGTAGCGGGGTTTGGGGGTGTTATGCCTATGTTTTCTAACGAGAATAGGTCGTTTATTTGACGGTCACAATTTTTGTCTGTAAGTTCTTCGCAAATTTGGGTAAAGTATGAGTGAGTTCTGTAAATTGTGTTGCTTAATCGGTTAGGGGAATTTATTTCTGATTTTCCCGCAATTAAGGGTCCGAGGAGCGTGTGCACTAATCTGTAGCCGTTAGGGAGTTTAGCAACGGGAGTTGGTTCTATATCATAATAAACATCACTTCCTAGCAGAACTATCGGTGACTTCCATTGTATTAGCAATTCTGCAGGTATTGAATCAGGGGATAATTGGTGAGGACTAATGTTCGCTACAGGCAAGGGATGAGTGAGAAAGTTTAGCGTGGTTGTTGAAACGGTGAGCGTACGACCGTTGACTAATTGAATGCCAATTTTTGTGGCAAAAGCAGGAGATTGAGCGCATTTTTGCTGGTTAAAAACGCCTATTTGTATATTTATCGGTTCAAGTGGTAATTTTAGCGCTTCCGCTGCCGCAGAGAGAATATAGGAGTTCGTGCTGCCATCGTCTAATAAGCACGGGACTATTATTTGCTTTGACGGATCATTCGGGTTAAAAATTTTTCCTAAGACACATTTTAACAGAACGGGATATGCGATAGAGGCTAGTGTACTAATTGAATTGGTAGCTGTTTTTTGCAGAGTATGTGCGGAGAATTCGGCAGCATTTCTACTTTCTATGTTTGTATTTTGCGGGAGGAGAGAGAAATCTTGGTTTTGATGGTTGGGGGTTATTACTGTGCTTGTAGAAGGTATTAGAGACTGCGGACGGGATCGGTTAATGTATTGCTCATTAGCATTAATTTGCTGATTATTTTCATAAACTCGTGTTTGTTTTTGCTGGAGGGCATTATTTATGTAAAAATTGCGGGAAGTGTAATTTGCTGCAGGGATTTGATTTTTGCGCGTGTTTGTATTTGGATTATTTTTAGCAAGAATTTGACCGCAAAGAGGTCGTGGATGCGTTTTGTTGCAGTTTTTGCATTGAGAAGGATTTGGACAATTTCTATAATTATGGTTAGGCTTCAAACATCGGGAACATAATTTCAGTTCATTAAGTCGGGAAATGCGGGAATTATAATCTTGGAATTTTTCGCAATATGTTGTAATGTGCCTGGGGTCGTTGCAAAAAAGGCACGGGTGTCTAAAACCGGGATTTTTACTGATCTGTTGATTAGCTACCGCCGAAAAATTTAAAGGCGGAGATGGTTGCAAGTTTCTAGTTTGGAGCTGCCTGTTAAAAGGTAACGAAAATCTATTACTTACCGGCGTTTCCATTCGATTGGGAGGCGATTGTTGGACATTTGGCCTTAAAGTAGTCGGCCGAGAAGGATGTATTGAATTAATTTCTTCTCTTCTTTTACGAATATTTTTTAAACATTCTTTCAAATCTTCGGTAGTCCAATGCCCGGCAAGTTGTTCCTTATTTTTATAAATTTCTTCGAGTACAAAATTTGGTAGTTTACTTTCAATGTCCATTAATATTGATGGAATATTTGAATCTGAATTATGTTGCTTGAATTGGATTAATATAGCTTCCAGGTTGTCAGTAAGTGTAGCAAAGTCCTGATTAAAGTATTCTCCCCTTCTAACGTTAGGAAGATTTCTAATTGCCTGGTAAAGGCTGCGGACAATCTCTTCTTTATTATTAAATTTATTCTCTAAAAGGTGGATCGCTTGGCCATAGGAATCGTCAGTAAGTGGCAACGCTTCGATTAAGCAAAGAGCAGGGCCGCTCAGGCAGGATTTTAAATACGACAGTTTCACAGCATCGGAAAGGGAAGAGATATTTCCTATAGCGGCGGAAAATTGGTTCCAAAAGGAAAGAAAGTCGGCAGATTTGCCGCTAAAGGACGGAAGGTTCATTCTGGGTATATGAGCGTGCGAGGAGGATTGAGTGGAGGAGGAGGGTAGCGCTCCCTCTAGTAAACGTTGTGATGAGCGTAATTTTCGTTTGTATTGCTTTACTTTGTTGAGGGTTTCGATATAGGGATGTTGCGCGTAAAACTGGTCATAAATTGAATTATCGGCCAAACGTTCGGGGCCTGTCATGTTGCTGCGGAGGGACATCCAATTAGTGTGTGCGTGGGAAAGGTCATCAGCTATTTCGCACAAATTCTGGAATTCAAGATTTAGGTCTGCTAGGGAAGCTTGAATGGCATCATAAAATTGGGCGTTTGATTGAGTGGGTCCTTTCAAGGGAACATTGAATGTTTTGGGAGCTGCAAGGAGTGTGTCTGCGTCCTCAAGCAAAGTAATGATTTCGGTGCGGTACCCAGCAGACATTTTTATTTTTTCCCACTATAAAAATTTTATATTTTTTTTTTGAATTGGTGCAAGAGGTTTGTTTAACTTCACCGGCTGAGCTGTCGCGGAAAAAGCAATCCGCGAATAATAAAAATTTATAACTCACACAAATTTTAAGCAAAAACAAATTAAGATTTTATTTAAAAGCAATTAAAAGTTTTTCCAACAAAAATATATTAGCTAAAGCAAAGTTCAGTCAAAAGTTGAAAAGCAATTTTTTTAGAATATTTTTAGAATGAAGAAAAACAGAAAGGATAGAGCAGATATATAAAAAAAAGGGTTGGACAACAAAAATAAAAAAAGGCACAAAGAACGACCAATCAAACAAAGGCGGTTAAAAAATACATTTTAATTTAAGTGAATGCAGGTGTTTTGATAAAAACAAATATGTTTTTGTTTAATGGAAAAAAGGGGTTTTAAATTTTAAATAAGAAAAAGGGAATTCTTTAATTTTAGACATTCGTAAAACGACAAAATCACTAGGACGAATTATTCCTTTTCCAACAAAAGGTTTATAAATTTTAGTTAATGGTTGAGAGATGACACAACCTTTTTTGACAGATGGACGAAGAAAATTAGGATATATTAAAGGTATTGAGATAGGATTACAGGTTTGAACATATTGTAAAATTGAATTTTTGAATGTTTGATATCTTAGTCCTTGATTATTTATGACGTCATAATTTAGTGTTATTCCCCGTACCTTTAAGACATATTCTGGCTCTTCATTATGTACAAATTTTCGTTTAAGTTTCAGACCATACTGCTTTGCACCACCGCTACAATACTCAAGTATTTCATGATTAGGGTATTCATCTGTAAGATCTCCAAGGTGAGGTCCAAGTTCCAGAGGATTATTATCTTCAGGGTGTGAAAAAATCAAAGAATCTGTATCAGTATAAAGGAGGGTGCAGTCTGGAGTTCGTGCCACTTTTTGCATAAGGCGAAGGAGATGGAGTCTTGCAGCAGAAGTAGTCCATAAGGATATCACTACATTTGAACACTCGTGTTCCTCTATCCATTCCTTCTTCTTCAGATATCTCAGCATAATTGCTTCCTTTGTTAATTCATCAATTGATACCATCTCTATAGAACGATTATCTAGGAAATCAGCTAACTCAGATGGATCATCAGTTATATAAGTTTGTGTTAATCCTTGGTTTCTAAGTGAAAAACGTCCCCACAAATTATTAACAGCTAATTTAGCTATTGCCCTTTTTCCCTTATTCGGAATCATCTTTTCTCTCTCGATCTTCATTCCAAATTTTTCCCAACATTCTTTAACAAACTTTTCTTCTTCAATGGCATTTCCTTTAATTTTATCATCAAATCCTGTGGCATGGATTTTTTGAGCTAAAAATTCTCTCATATATGGACGAAAAAGCTCATTATCTGACTTTGTATATTCCAGAACGCGATAAACTTTTTTAACTTTATATCCTTCTTCCAAAGCAGCATTTAACTCTATAGATGTACAACTGCTCACCCACCCTCGTTGTCTTTCTGTATGAGTACAACTGTAATTCTCAATTATATTTCCTTTTGGGTTTAATTTTGAACACTCGGCGCATAGGGGAAAAAGCAACCTTTCTTCATCAAATTTAGCTGGCAGAACTGGAATGTCAATCTTCTTCGGAGGAATAACGAATACTTTCAGTAATGCTAGTTTGTAAGGATTGTCTGCTGCGCAAGTCCAATGGACTTCTTCATTTAAAGTATGTACAATAGGGTGACCGATTGGGTAATTGGTGTTAAAATTTGTAAAGGGATAAAGCGAAGTCACGTCAAAGTAAGAGATTTTCTCGCCGGGCCTTGCTTCATGTATTAATTTTAATGGTCCCGTCCTTCCACCAAAAAAGCAAGCTCTTATTTCCAAAGGTCCTTCATCAAGATAATTGTTGAATTTTTGCTTCATATCACGGTCATTTTCAAGCATTTCCCTAATCTCGCACTCCCAAAAAATTTTTAAATCTATTCCTTGTTCCAAAATAAAATTTTTTCTTTCGTAGTCTTTAAGTCTTCTTTTTCCAGCTGTCATTCCATTAGGTAACATCATATTATCATCAGGATAGCAACTCTTTTTTGGGCATCCATGCCATGCACACCCATTTACTTCAATACCAAGATTTCGTTCCTCAACCCATCCATCTAACTTAAAATTTCCAACTTTTTTCTCTCCACCAACTGAATGTGCTGTCTGGATTTTTATATTTTTTTTTCAGAATACCATTTTAAGAATTTAAGTGCCAATAGACTCTGGTTATCGACATTTTCATAACCGCGCTCTGGAACAATAGAAAGATGTTTTTCTTTTAAATGGTTAGTGCGATAATGCTTCATGCACGCACTAGCTATAGTCATGCATTCTTTCAAAACATCGATACCTTCGTGATTAGATCGTTTAGTTGTTTCAAAAAATTCGTTCCTAAATGCCACAAGAGCACACATCAAAATCTCAACATCGTTAGTGCAATAACTAGCGAGAGCTTCATCTAGTAGAAAGGGATTTTCTTTATTCTTCTCAAACCATGCATCAAATTCCTTTCTTTTTGTGGGCATCATACCAGAGGCCATATAATCTTCCTTAGACAAGTATATCTTTTTCCCATAATTTTCCGGACGATTGGCAAGATGGGGAAAGAAAGGTTTGTCATCAATATCAAGACCAAAAGTAGGAACAAGTGCAGCTAATGCCATTGGCATTAGATTGAATGAATCACGAAATATAATATTCGAATTGTAATTTGGCCTTTTCATTATTTTCATTTCATATAGCTTGTTTCCTTTCATGAGTACTTGTGGATTGATACCTTCAGAGTATAATTGGCTCGCTACTATTACCATGTCGAACCGACCTCCAAAATGTGAATATGCAACTGTATCATAATCTTTTGGTAATTTATAAAGAAGCCAATGAACGAAGGCTTTTAATGGATCTTTATCTATAACTTGTTTATCAACTCTTGTCTTATTAAAAGGTTGTTGGGAGAATGTGATAAGACGGTTTTGACCACAAACTTTACAATTGTATTTTTTCAAGCTTTTTCGCCATTCTCCATTAATTATACAATCAGGACAAGCTACCTTTGCAGCAATAAAATTAGGTTCATGAATCCTTTTATCGGGTGAGACTGAATTAACTTTCTTATATTGAGTTGTTTCCAGATCAAAAGAGATAAGTCGATAAGGGAGTTGTCTCTTTGGATTGAGTATTCTGATAAAACATCCTCTTTTGGGATCATGGAAGTCCCCACATCTACCACAGTATTTTTCCAGACATATATGACCACTACGCCCATTTCTTTTGTTATCATATACATTCCATATTTCACCACATTTATCACACTGCTTGGAATTGTTACAAAATCTACTAATTAAATGATGATTATAACAATTGTAGTTGTCAAATATTTTGTTGCATCCAATGCATTTTTTATTATAATTATCCTTAGATTTGCAAGGAAAACCAACCCCTACTTGAGAACACTTTGAACACCGTGAACGACACTTAATTGAGTGATTTTGCGATCTATTATAAATTTTTTCACAAGAAAGACAGTATGGTTGACCAAATAATCCACCAATTTTCTGTACCCCATCAAAATGTTTGTTGTTATAATAGAGAACGATAGGGATATTAAATTCCTCAGGACCAAATTTAAACAAAGGTTTATAATGTCCTGAAGATCCAAAAATGTAGACTTTAAAAATAAACTGCCCTGTGAAGAGAAAATTGTTCCAGTACTCAACGATTTTTGGCACCCATATTTCTGCATCGTACTCCTTTAAACGAGTTGGAGCCCCAACTTTTCGCATTAATATCTCTGTATTTTTCTGTAGTTCACCTTTTTGTCCTTTACGATTGTGTATGTAATCAAAATATTTCCACCGTGGCCATTTTTTAATTTTATCCATAAGTGAGGCTTGAAGGGCATAGAAGAGACAATAATTACTCGAGTTATTTACCTAAAATTTTTTTAAATTATTAAAAATTAAAATTAAAATTACCTTAATTAAACATTGACTATCGATTCGGTGATGAACTGGAGCAAGTTTTCGATTTCTAGAAGATCCACCAGTAATTTTTCTCTTTTCTGGAAGAGCACTGCGATCTACCGTTGTCAATGTTACAGTAAATGGTTTACCCCAAAGTGTAATATCCTGTTGTTTTTTACTCTGGCCCACTTGTAGAAATCGATTAAGTATTGCGTCAACTGTATTGTCGTTCATCTCACGCACTGGAATCCAAACATCTGGATCAAGCAATTCACTACTAATTATACATCCAAGTTTAAGCGGATTTACACCCTCATGATCACTTTGGTCTACCGCTTCATCAATGCAATATTGAAAAATACCTTAAATATTAGTAATATTATTATAATTCTATATAAATATACCAGCTAGTAAACCTTCAGGATCAGCAGGCAAGTCTTTAATTTGAAATTTTATACGTTTCTTGAAGAGTTGGAACTTTGGATTGTGGAGAGAAATATTTTCTAACTGTTCAACATATTTTTCAGGGTTAGGGATACCTGTACCATGTTGAGTAATACCAAAATTAGGCGAAAATTGAGGTATTTCTTGAGAATTAGGGAAAAATGGATTTAATATATTTTCAATATAAAATTTATTGGAATATTTTGATCGTTTTGTTTTCGGCGATGATGACCGAGATGAGCTCATTTTTTTATAAATATTCAAGAATGATTTCCAATATAGCTTTTCTATCCTATATATATATATATATCTTTTCACATAAATGAAAATATTTGAACTCATTTTTTTATAAAGCAAACACCAGCTCAATTTGAGCAAATACAAAAATTTTAACAACAGGTGTTTTTAGCGGCATTTAAAACGAACTTTTCTCTTTATTTGTCTTCCATTATATTAAAAAATAACTAAATCTCGTTTGAAATTCCTTTAAAAAGATGCGGCCAGGACTAATACGGATGAATAAAAATCTCGGCGAATTCAAATATAGAATAATATTCTTTTTATTTAACATATTAAGTAAACATTTGCAGCATATAAAAACTCTTATTTATCACTTTTATTTTTATTACTTATATTTTTTTGTTACTTATATTTTTTATACTTAAGTCTTTTAAAAATAAAAATATTTTCGAATTTTAATGGAAGAAACTTTCTCGTCTTTGAACATTAAAGATGTTGAGCAAAAAACTGTAGAGGTCGATTTTTAAAATTTTATTGTTATCTAATTTTATTTAATAAATTTATTTTTAGGGAACGGCTGAATTTTGGGATTGCCCATGGCATCCAGCAATCAAAGAAATAAATCAAGTGATCAAAAATGGGAAGAAATTGGATTTGTCTTCGTTCTGGATCTTTTTGGATCATAATTACGAACTTTCTACGTGGTGTTGCCAATGTCGCGAAACAGTCTTTGATATGGATCAAGAAGAAATAATTAAGCTTTTAGAAGGGAACACTTATTCTTATAAATTTTTTGTCTGTTCTGAGTGTGCTCAGATCATTAAATACGCTACATTTCATTATTAAAAATTTTTTATCATTTTATTTACAAATGTTTCAACAAATAAATCTGGGGTGTGAGTATTTTCTAATATATTTAAAAAATGTTCATATTTCTGACCTAAAGATAAAAAATAGATAAAGCAGATAGCATGTTGACCACATGTGTTCGAAGAATAGGATTGATAAGCTCTTCTATTTCTTACAATTGCTGGAAATTGTTTTAGAAAATTTGAAATCTGACATTTTTTATTAAGATTTTCGAATGAAAATAGGGCTAGACTATCGTAGTAAAGAACTTCTTTATCAATTCCTTCAGCAAAAATGGCAACCCAGTGTGATCCTTCCATTCTTTTTGGGTCAAAATTCATTATAAAAGATACTGGGTAGTTGAGTGTTGATGGGCTAGGTAGACTATCGCATGGCAGACATCCCAGAAAATTGTTTTTTGTCTGGAGATTTGAGTTCAAAATTCTTTCTATCTGCAAGCTGATCATCATCAATTGATATAGAGCATAAATTTACTCTTTGAACACTATTTTTATTATTAGGAATTGTAGATTTTAGCCAAATAATTGAACGTAACTGATATATAATAAGACTTAGAATGAGTAAAGCGTAAAGAGCAAGCATCACCCAGCAATATATATTAGTGTAGTAACCTTGACTTGAGGTGGGTGCATCCTTGCATAATTGAATCGAAGGGAAATTAGCAAAATGAGCAATAGGTGATTCCATCTTTTTAACCTTAGGTTCCTTTGTTGTCTTTATATCTTTCCCTATTATATCTCTAGTTTTGTTATAACCTATCCTTCTTAAATATTCCGAATATTCAGGAAGACTTTTGAGATTTGAATCTTCACTAAGTACTAAGGCAGAGGTTGGAAAAATTATATGAATAAATAATATATTTTGAATAATTGTTTTGGAATACATTTTCTAAAGTATTTAAATTAATAAAAATATTTTTTGAGAAAAATTACAAGACTTAATTACTTTTATTTTATTTTCCAATAATAATAATAATGAAAATATTTATTACGAAATATAAATGTTTTATAATTTACAATTATGAGTTTATTAAATGGTTGTATCACTGGTTATTGTTCGATTCTTATCCAACATTATAAGTGAATCTGCTTCTCCCATTACAATTAGCATCACACCTCCATCGGGAACTGGCTTGCTGAATTTAATATTGACCGCTGTTGTTCCGTTTCTAATTAGATCGAAAAGCCCCCCTTGATCTTCCCCACTGTTTGTTAAATTAAAAACGTATATTGCATGAGTATATCCATACTGTTCGAAAGTAATACCATTACTTTCCATAGAATTACCAAATCCAATAGCTTCATTCATATCATTGAATGCCCTAACAAATTTTCCGTTACTATAATCAAAATCATATGGTGCTTGAGGGTAGCTTCGTCCATTAGCATTTATATTTATCTCTCTGACATTAAAATGTTGAAAATTAAAAGGACTTCGTGATATATTGCCTACATAATCACTATTTGCAACAAGCCCTAGTATTACTCTTCTTGGGATTTGGTCCATAAACAAATTTGCATTGAACTCATAGCGGCCCTGACTTATAAAAAGCGGCTTCATCATAGTTTTGCGAATAGCATATCGAGCAGGGCTTATTTCTAATTTTTTCGCGATATCAAATGCTAGTCCATCCATTAAATCGACTTTTTTAACGTAAAGTTTACAATTTAAAATCTCAAATTGGTAACGGTTGGCTTGTGGGACCACCCCGACTGGAGGAGCAATCAAAACAAATCTGCTGTCATTTGGCAATATTTCTATGTCCACTTCACAGTGATTAATAAGATATAGGGGTTGATTAAAAAGATCAGCATCTATTTTTGCAATAAACTGTGCTGTGTTACTTGATCCAAATCGTACCTTTCTTGAATTAAACCCTGCTCCTGATTCTAGACTTAATCCAACATCTCCATAATATCCTGCTGCATTGAGATGAGAACTTTTAGCTGCTAGTGAGAAACTAAGCTCGTGGGAAAGATAGGATTTGTAAGCCATAAGGGAATTCGAGTTAAATACTTCTCTGCCATTTATACTAATCCTCATATTATTTATAAAAGTATGCCCAATAAGCTGAATTGGTGCAACATTATCTCCTGCTTCCAAATTAACCCATGCTCCATTTTCATTCGCTTTGCGAATACGAAATTCAGTAAATAAATAGCATTTTGATAAGTCAATATAATTTTGACTGGAATGAATTTTGAAATGATAAGGTGTATCCGTGAGTGGATTGCTAGTCAAAATTTCAAAAACTTTAGCTGAAGATATACTTACATTTGTAGGAGGAATTTCAAAAAAATCAAGAGCGTTTGTAACTGAGTTAATACTATCATTGTCAATTTTATGATATGCCATTTTAAAAAATATTTAATATAATCCAAATGCGTCCGATCTAATTCGTTTTTTTCCAATAACTATTTTATGATTTGAAATTTCTCGTTTTCGTTTTCCTTTTATACTCTTTTTAGCCGTGTGAGATTTTGAAAATCCCGTTCCGAATTGCCGAGGTAATCCTCCTTTTTCTAACACATTATCTATTCCTTTTTTTCCTTCGCTAGTTATTGCACTTTTTATTGGTTCTCCTTGATTAACACGTTCAAGAACGCGATGACCTGTGTTAAGGGCTTCTGCAGTAACATTAGTTCCTACACGCTTGACAATTGGAAGGAAAAAACGCCAAAGTCCTCTGAAAACATTGCCAATCCCCGCTCCTCCTTGTAATCCATAACCTCTTTGAAATGGGGAAGATCCTCTAAAATATGAATAATTGTTTTCACCACCAATACTTTCTAATCCTCTTCCATTTTGATCAAAAAATTTTTGAGAATTTTTCGGCGAGAAAAAATCATTATAACCTATTAAAGAAGTATCAAAAACAACATGAACCATTTTTAAAAATTTTATTGATTAAAGTTAAATGAATAAAATAATGAGAAAAATATATAAAGTCAAAGCACTTATATAGCAACGAGAATGTCTGCTTAAAAATTAATCACTTTTTTGAATATTAATACCACAAGAACTGTTCCATAGGAAAAAGGGACAAGTCTTCCATTATCCATTGTTCGCAGCTCAATTTCAATTTCGTTTATTTCTCTAGGTAGTACACGCGCATAAATAGGGGTATCGTAAATCTTTTCATTATATTCACCAGGATTAGAACCTGCAACAGAAACTACTCTTAAAAGAGAGCTTAGTGAATTTCCGATAATCATATTTTCCGTCAAGCCTTTTACATACACCGCGAAACTAGAAAATCCTCCTCGAAGATCGCATCCATATTTTGCAATTTCATTGTGTTTAACCTTATGAGGATTTTCAAATCCAAGTACATAACCAAGTTGTGATGAAAATGATATATGTATAATATTAGGATGACCAAAAATCAAACGAAAACGTCCAAAATCTACATTATATTGAAATTCAATAGAATCAATAATATTTTTAAGAAGTTTTATTCCACCTTTATATTTCTTCCCATATTTACTTATTGAAAACCTGGTTGATTTATTCAAGAAATTTTCTTCTTCAACAGTTATTGTTTGATTATTTTCTATTTCTGCATCATCCTCCGATTCACTTTCAGCTAATCCTAGTATAGTAAGCACATTATTTGAGGCCGGTGTTTTTTTCTCTCTTATTGTTTGTAATTCATCACTCTTTAAAGGCGGGAGTGAGAGGGAAAGCGATTTTTTTGGCACTTCATCTTGTGAGATGATTTTTATTTTATTTGCATTTTCTCTTTCTTTTTCATTACGTAACTCTTTCGCTTCAGGTTTTGGGGATGAATTGGTCTTTTGAGGAGCCTCGTCCTTTTTATTTAGTTGCACAGATGGCGACTTTAAAGCTGACAGCGAGCCAGATTTTATTTGTTTATCTATATTTTCATTCTCTTTTGTTTTTCCTTCACTGCGCAACTCCTTTCCTTTATTTATATTTTCTTGGGTCCTTGGAGGTGAATTAATCTTTTGAGGTTTTTCTTCCTTTTTATTTACTTTTAATTGTAGAGGTGGTGAGATAGGTCTAATATTTTCAGCGGCCCTTTTCTTTCTATCTAATTTCGGCGGAGACAAAACGGTTGGTTTATCCACTAAGCCTTTGGAAGTGAAAATTGAATCTAATGCATTACTTTGATGTTCAAGCGTGGAATTAAGGAAATCTCGCAATTTTTCTACTTTAATATGAGATGCTTTTGGTATCGGCACACGAAGCACCTGTTGTTTATTTAATTCATCAAAAAAATTTATTTTTATCCATTGATCGTCTAATGTGCCGATAGTGGAAGGCCACGAATAAGGATAGCTAATACTGTGCAAACCACAAACCCAATCTCCGTTAAAATATATTGGTTTAGGTAGATGAACTCGAAATTTATTGGGTTGATTATCTGGGTAATCAGATACATTACTTGGTAAAAACACAAAGAAATTGTTTGACATTTTTATTAATAAAATTAAAATGATACAAATAACAAATAGGGTAAATATTTATACTAGCTGCGACTCAGAAATCCATTCCCTATCTGGATATCCTATAAACTTAACAAGTAGTTCTTTTGCTCCATCTGCTCTTTTTCTTTTTCTGTACACTTTTTCTATTCTATACTCTGTCTCCTTGTCTTTGCGCACTTTAGATAGTTCATGGCTGTAAAAAGACCCTTTAAATTTCTCTCCTTTATCGTCCTTAAGTTTGTATAGTAGTGGAGTAGATTGATCTTTAACCTTATCCACTTCTAGTATTTCGTCGCTCCAATTCGGTAAATATCCCTTATCAAACGTTCCTTTTCCAACACTCATTCGGACAAAATCTCCTTTGTTTAATTTTGATTTAGAATTCTTGTTTTTATTTGAGAAAATTCCACCATACATTTTTTGCCAGATTTCTTGAGCATTCTCAAAATTAATGTCAATTGGCCGCATCCCATGCACTCTGCAACGTGATTTATTAATTCCGTAAACAATTTTTTGTACAATGTCAATCCATTTCAAAGTTTTATTTTGCGAAAAGTAACGATATAAACGCTGTTTCAAATTTCTAATAGCCCTTTCAGCAAGTGATGCTTTAACAGATGAATGAGTAGCTTCATGCTTATCTATTTCCTCTTTTTCAAAGTATTCCTTAAGTTGGCGATTCTTAAATTCAGTTCCTTTATCAGAGAAAATTCTGTGCGGTTTCATAGGCATTTGTGAAATTAATTGACGAAAAGATTCAACCATATCATCTGATTTCTTAGATTTTAAATTAACAGTAAAAATTCTCTTGGATAAAACATCAATTCCTACTAATAGATAACGATATCCTTTGTTATGCCTGGCTAATGCTTGTAGATCAGCTAAATCCACCTGAACATCTGTCATAAAACCTGCAGCAATAGTTCTACTTCTCGGAAATCGCACACGTTTAGGTCGCATAAGTGTATATGTGCGATGACCCTCCAAATAATCTTTAATAACATTTCTTGGAATATGTTTGAATGTTTTCCTAGCCTCATACCATAGGCTATCAATTCCTGAATAAGCAGCAGGTGATTTCGGATTATTGTATAAATCATCTAGTAATTTTATATAATCTGCCATTTATTCTACCAAAGCTTTGGTTTAAATTTATTTATATCCGACTGTGTCGGTTTTCTATTTGCCCATTTATTTTTTAAATTTCTAATCTTTATTCTTTGCATCCACAATTTAGCAGCCTGTTCTGAAGCCTTTTTAGAAACTGGTTTTCTATATCTTTTTAAAGCAATCTGATCATCACCTTCATTATCCTCAATTTTTCTTTTAAAAACACCACGAGATATAGGTCTAGGAGGCGAGATACCATTTCTTTTGATATTCTTACCGGGAGGTTTACTTAGTTGGTTTAATCGTTGTATTTCGTAATAATCAAGAGGGACTTTTTGTTTTATAATTTCATTTTTTCTTTGTATAAATTTTCTTTTTTTATCGATTCGAAGGGCTTCCTTGCGTCTTAATTCTCGGTCATTTTCTAATAATTCTTTATCCCTCGCTTTATCATGTTTTTTTATTCTTTTTACAACATTAAAATCATCTGAATCATTCTCTCTCTTTGAAACAGTGAGTGGAATAGGGGGAGAATTTCTTAAGGGTGCAGAAACTGCTGCTGGTTCATTTATTTCTTGTTGTACTGTAGGTGTTACAGTCACTCTTTTCTTTTGTTTATTCCTTTTAAAAATAGGAATTTTGGACTTGGTTACTTTGTTTAATTTTAACTTTTTTGAAATTTCTCCATTATTTTGTTCACGCCTTTTGAGACCATGACGAATTATTGTGGGTGATAGAGACAAACCTTCATTTAATAAATTTTGTCTATTGCTGGGCAAGGAAGCAAGAGAAGGTGATTCATGAAGTGGAGGTACAATATTGTAAGCAAAATTAGGGGGTTCTCTAGGATAAGCTGAATATGATAAATCATCACTAAGCCATATATCATCGTTTTCATCGTTATTTGGAATATATGAAGATGGTCGAGAACGTGTTTTTGGTACTACTACACCTTTTTTATTAGCTACCATCTCAACCTTTACTGGTTTATTTTCACGTTCATTTCTCATATGTAAATAACGTCTTAACTCTTGGTTATAGTGAACATTTTTAGCAGACTCACTTTCCCGCTTTAATTTTGATTTTTCTAAATTTCTTCTGGTAAAATCTAGATTAGGTTCACCTACATCATTTGATGTAAGACCTCGATAAATCTCCTCTGGTACTAAAATAAATTTATTCGCCATTATTTAAAATAATATAATTAATGAAATATGAATGAGTGAAATAATGAATTATTCGGTCAGACTATCACCTTTTATAATCTTTTTTCCTATTTCAATGAGGATCGGTGTAAGAAGTGCCGCAAACACTCCGCCAATGCCACTTCCTCTCTGAAAAACAGTTTTCCTTAATAACTTTCTCGCACCCCCTTCACTTCTAGAACGACTCAAACGGCGGACAAATTGAGCATAAGGCATGAGACGTTTTTTCTGCCTAGTCGTAAGCTGATATCTTAATTTTACAATGTTCAAACAAATTTCAGCTAAGGCTAGGAGTTGACTAGATTGCGCGTGTTTAATGATTCGACGTTGTTTACGTGAAGATTTTGTTTTTGCAAGAGTATTTAAAAATTTTACATTTTCTTTTATTAACGGACTAAACTCAAATTTATTTTCCATTTTTAGAAATGAAGATAATTTTTTCTTCGTCGTCCTTAAATATGTTTGTTCGAAGACGAAGATTGGAATCTGATGATGCATGCATATCTATTAACATATATCCATAGGGAATTTTTGTTGCTTGTCTATAAGCATCAAGAAAATAGTCCAGCTGTCGAGGAAAAAGTTGAACACCTATATTTCTAACAGCTAAGACTGAATTGGGAGATCTCATAATCACTATATATTGTGCATTTTGTCTTGCTACTTTTATTTTTTTCTCAAAAAGATTTTGAGTGACGAAAACGATACCAAAATTCTGATGATGGGATTTTTTGGTGAAAAGTTCGGATAAATATTTCTCTTCTATAGATAGCAATAAATCATCTAATATAATTAATGAGGGTTTTAAAAGTCGATTAATGACATCTTCTGTTGGTACACCGGCATAAACACTAACGCCCGATCTTTGAAGTTTGGGAACAATGCTGCTCATTTCACCAAAACAGTAGAGAGTACTTTTTGGTGGAGGGTGTATAAGATCAGCGGCTTGGGAAATGAATTTGAGAAGAAAAGTACTCTTACCACTTGAACTAGGGCCAGAAATAATTAAGCCAAAGGGTAATTTTAATTTTAAATCTTTACTTGAAAAATTAAGAGATTCCATTACAAGGAAAATAATTAAAATGAAAAAAAAAGTTATTAGTAGTTGAAAAATTAAATTACAAAGTGTGAGTTAAAGGGGTATGATCGATTGGGATGTTCTTAAGAAGATTGTTCATCTCATCATCCATTGCAATAGCCTGTGCCTGCAACTCCTGAAGCTTTTCCCCTGGAATAGGAGTACTAGTTATAGCTTCTCCAATATTATCAAAAAACTCTTTTAAAACATCTTCCATTTCTTCATCAACAATATCTTCTTTCTTAATTTCACTGGTTTTCCCAATATTTTCTTCCTTTTCATTATTTTTCTCACTACTTTCATCCTTTTCCTTTCTATTATCCTCCTTTAAAATTTTTTGATGTGCCTTGAAATTGGTTTGTGTTTGCACAGGAAAGCATTGAGGTGTTTCGCCATGCATGACATTGAAAACACGAGCCTTGTTTCGAATCTGAATTTTAAATATAAAATTATTTAAATTTTTTAATTAAATTTACTTTGAAAAAGCAATGCCCCGGAAGATCATAGATTGTATCAAAAGGAATAAAGATAGGACTTTTGATTCTCGAGCAATAAAATGTTACACCCTCTTTTGCCACAACGAAATCAAGTTCAGCTTCTGTTGCCTTACATTCACGACATCGACCAACATTGTCAAAAGGTATAAATCGAGGTGTGGAGAGGCGTTGAGAAGCAGAAATAGTTAAACCTTTATTGGTTACATTAAAATCTACCTCAGGGAGGATTTGTTGGATAAGAGATTTTTTATCGTTTATATTAATAGCCATTATTTTTAAGATATAACTAAATGATTTGAAGATTTTGTTAGAAATCTAAATTTTATTTTTAATGGTTAAATTAATTTAACCCCGCCTTTTTATTTATATTACTAATTTTAAATGAATTTAAATGAACGCCCATCTTAAAAAATCTGATCTTGACTGACCACGCCCTCAAGAGTTAATTGGAAGTATAAAAGTATCTCGGTTGACTTTTATATTCATTTTTCATCTTTATTTTATTCCATTGAGGATATCAGCATACAATTTTCCTTTTAATATTTACTTTAATTTTTAGTTTATGTATTTTATGAATAACCGCCATCTCTCACTCACTTATTATTACGCAATTATTTTCTCCTTTTTCCATCGAGAATTAATTCTCCTTTGAGTTAAGATATATTTTTCGATCATAATAATTTGTTTTATTTTTTTGCTAATAATTATAAAATTTAGAAATTAATTTAAATTTTTCCTGATTTAATTAAAATGTCCAAGCAAAAACAACTCACACTTGAAGAGTGTTGGTCTAAGGATAAACAAAAAAATGTGGGTTTTATTGAGATAAATTTTTTGAATTTTTAAATTAAGATTGACAAAAATAATCAAACGGATGATATCTTAACTGATATTTGTCCATGGTATTTTTTTCATGCAAGGCAAGGTTCAACTGATATCAAAAATGGACTCTTCCGCAATCAACGCACTGGCGAAATTATACTTCCTGGTATAGACCGAATACCAAAAGTGAATTCAATTTTAATAAAAATTTTAATTAATTTTTATATTAAGACTTTTTGGATTTGCATGACTGGGGAGCAAGTTAAAATTTTTTCGAAAATTGAGGATATGAAGAAAGAGGCGGAAGATGAAGAATTGGTCAATGAGACAATTATTGACTCTGGTGCTTCATCACCAATACACAACTGGACCAACGACGAGACACCAGCAAGTCCGGCTCCAAGCCCTGATGTACCAATGTATTATATTTGATTTAAATTTTGAAAATAATGTCTTAATAAACTCAATTTTTATTTAATTTATTTTTCCCTCAATTTAAATATTATTTTAATTTCCCTTACTTCTCTAAACCCTATTCTTATTCAACATCCTAGCTTAACGAATTCTCATCTACCATTCTTATATTTTTCTACTCCCTCATTTATTTGTATTAAACGATTATATTTTCAAATAAACAATTTATTGCAATTAATTTTCTTCATAAAATAAAAATACTTCAAATTTGAAAAAATTATTAATTATTTAATATTCATTTTAATTCTTATTCATAAAAATTCACATTAAAGGCGGGTCTCCTCGATTTTGACTTCCTCTAACTGCAAATTATTTGAAATTATTTTGAATTATTTTTAAGTTCTTACCTCAATCTCTGTCACCTCCACTTTATTTGGATGGCAAACAACCTTCAATGGTTTAGGCATTGTTGGTTGACGATTTCGGGGTTTCCCAGGCTTTACTAAAAAATGAAATGAATTATTGTTATTTTATCCACAAATCACCTGCCACAGTTCCAGTGTCTTTTGAAACTCTGTAACGTCCCCGCGTCCCTTTCTTTGATAATTTACCACAACATTGTAAAAGACAAGTCAAAAACTTAATTAAAATTGATAAAAAGGAATCTTAATGTTATACCTGAATTGTCAAAATTAACCCCAGGAAGATTAAAATAATAGGAAAAATATTATCAGATTTTGGATTTTGGAGAAACTCCCCTATATCCTGAATGTTCTCATGCACACATTGTATAGGCTTTGTATACAAGTATGGCCTATAGCAAGAATTTTTTGGAAGAGGACAGATACAGTTATCCACCTTTACCCAAGACAGATTAGTAGGTAAATTTTCAGAAATTAAGGAAATATTTGTCATTTTTCAAAAATTAGTAAGTAATAATAATGAATGATCTGGTCCTAGGAATGTGAAAAAAGTTTTTGTAAACATACCAAACGTTGTCCATTCTTTATCTTTTATTAAATCATATATTTCCATATTCCTTTTGTATTGCCTGATTACCGCTTAAAATGAAAGTAAGAAACATGTGTGAAAAATAAAGAAAAATAACTAACAATACCCAGTAAACAAAAAAATAGCGCACTTTTAAAGTTTGCAGCAAAAGAAAAGAAAAACAAACGAAGGGAAAAATGACCCAAATTTTTAAGAAAAAGGGAGAAAATAATTTGTAAAAAATTTGTTTATGAAAAACAATATTTAAACATTTAAGTTTGTTTGCTTTAATGGTTAGGGGTTTCCGAACAATTTATCTTTTTATGTTACCGCAAAAACATGTTAAAAGGATTAGAGGATTTCGAACAATTTATCCTTTGATGTTGCCGAAAAACATGTTAAAGGGATTAAGGTTTGTTTGTTTAGGGCGAAGGTCCCGTTGGGTTAACTACTTTAATTTTTCCTTAAAATTATTAATTCATTTTAAATAATTTTAAAACTTTTATAAAGCACCTAATTCAATAAATTAACATTCACTTTCTAATTTTTAAATAACTTTCCAAAATTTATGTTATTATTTTTTCTATTAAAAATTCAAAACAAGGATCAGTCCAAGATCGACCGAAAAACTTTAATAAAATTGTTAATCCAGAAGAACATTTTTATTAAAAAACTAAAAACTGCTCTATGCTTTTTGATTTATATAAAAAATAATTTTTATTTAGTAAATTAACATTTATCTCTTTTAAACAGGTATTTAATTATATTTTATTTATACTGTTATTTTGTTTATTTCCTGTTTTTTTGGCCATTTTTTGTTTGATAGAAACAATATATATTTTGTGGTAAAAAGCTAAGAAGAAAATATTTTCTTTAATTTTCTTGTCTTGTTTAAAACAATTTGTTGGAAGTGGACAATAAAGAAGGAGGAGAAGATCTTGTTTAGTAGTAAATCCTTTTTTTCTACAAAAAATGTAAAAAGAAAAATCATTTTTTATAAATATTTTTGTTTTCCTCTCATTTTTGTGTGTTCGAGAATTAAAAACAAAAACGTAATCAGAGCATTACTACATTTCGCGCATTAAAAGTTTTAAAGGATTTGTTTTTAAAAATATATTTAGATAACTGACCACACAAAAGTATTTTTTAATTTTTCGATAATCAATATGTAAATGTTTTTTTTAATAAATTGAAACTTGCAAGGGCGAATGTTAAATAATTTAATTTTGGTGCACAGACTTTCAAATTAATTTTTAGTAAATATTTTTTCCAAAAATATCTTTAAGGATTTTTGAATACTATCTAAAAAAAGTTTTAAACTAAAATTTCACAAATTATTGTTTTATATAAGTGATTTATTTATTTATCAAAATTTATTTTTAAAGTAAAACAAACGAATTTTAATTTATACAAAAAAGGATGCGAGAAAATAATAACGAAAATATTGGAGATGAATTTATAATTCAAAATAAAAGGAAAACATTATTATCAACAACAACAATAAAAAGAGAAACCCAACAACAAGTTCCCCCAATTTTTGAATTATTGCTTAATTCAGACGAATCTTCGAGTGCTTCTTTACGTTCGGCTACAGTTTGGGGAGAAGAAAAATGCATTGTTAGATGTGCTATTGGGGAAGAATCTAGAAGGGCTTTTATTCCGAGTACTTTACTTTTACATAAAAATGGAAAGAAAGTTGGAATAATTGAAGAAGAAAGTGGTGGAAGGTTTGGGGAGAATATTTAAATTAAATGAAAAATTAGAATTCATTATCAAATAACTGAACATTAATTTTGTTGAGTCCATATGTATATCTTTAATCATTTTTGTTTTAATCAAAAAGGAAGTGTTTTAATCTCTCATTTCCCTCAAAAAATTATTACTACAATAAATTTTTTAAATTTCTTAATTTTTAAATATTTAGTATTGCCTATGAATTTATTCCTTGGGAAGAAGAAAATAAAAAATTAGCTAATAATAATAAACAAAATATCAAAAAGCCAATCCTCTTCCATTGTTCTGCCGAAATATTTCCAGATGAAGCTAAATTATTAAGAAAAGGAAGAAGACATTTTCCACAAATAACAAATAAAAATCAAATATATCAAAGAACATTAAAGATGACACCAAAAATTGGAACGATTCCTTGTGAAAATAATTATAATAAATGTAAAAATGGGGGGTTGTGTTTTGAAATGAATAATAATGGAAGTAAATTTTGTTTGTAAGTTGTTGTTTTTTGTTTGAAAGGAAATTATTAAGAATGATTTTAAAAATCTAATAAAATATATATCAATATATCCTTTATAAAAATAGTTTTCAGGTGGAGAACTACCACAAACTTTAACTAAAAATTAAAGATGTTTGTTAGGGTTGGGGTTTCGAGTCGGACCGACGTTCGAGTCATTTTTATCGGGCCGACCCGACCGAGTCTTTTATTGGGCCAAAATTCGATGCCCGCCACGATCTTTCGGACCGGGTCCCCAACCCTAATGTTTGTTGATAACCCAAAAATTTATTTGAATTAATTACTAGATCCAAATAATTCTTTTATAATATTTTCATCATCAGATGTCCCGATAAATATAACGGACGTTATTGTGAGCAATGGCTTGGAAATGGAATTTTTTGTGAGAAATATTAAAATAATTATTAAATTAAAAATTAAATTTAAAGTTAAATCAACATTTTTGCCAATTTCAACAATTTGTCTTTCTTCTCTTATTGCATTTCTTTTATTAATTATAATTTTATTAAGTTTATTTTTAATAAAAGAAAAAAGAAAATTATCAAAAAGAAGAAAAAATATTATAAAATTTGAAGAAAATGGAAAAATTGAGAAGAATAATGTAAATTTAAATGAAAAGGTAGGGGAGGTTTAGAGTTAATCAAAATTATTAAAAAATGCAAATTAAAGAGAATCAAAAAAACTTCTAGTTCTAAAAACAATAAATCTCGTTTGTAAATTATCTCGGAATTTTGATTGGCTTAACTGAAAACATCCAAAATATAAGACCGTGTTTTTATTTCAAAAAAATATTTTTTTGTTTAACATAAATATGTATATCCAAATGAAAATTTTTTTAATCAAGGAAAATGAAAGCACACCTCTTGAATATTTTTATAATAAAGAAGATGATCCATTTGACAACAAATCTTTGACAATAAAAGAAAATAATAATATAACCAATCAACAACAAAATAATTATTTATTACCCTTATCTCCAATACCTTCAATTGCAAGCCCATCACTTTCACGAATTCCACGTTTATATTCTACTCCACAAATAAAAAGGACAACAAAAGAAATTGGTAAATTAATTTTTAATTAGAGTTTTCGTATACTTTTTTGTTTGTCAGCTTAGGATTTACCAGACCTGATTGTTTCCTTACATAATTTGCTCATATTTTTGTAAACATGTAAAGGAGAATCCCTAAATTATTTTAAAAAGAATCCTTCACTTAAATTCAATTTATTAAAAATTAAATCCAATAAATTTTCAAGAGAAGGAAGAAATTAATTTTGAAGAGGAAAAACATTCAAATAGCAGCAACAATCAATCTTCAGAAAGTGGAGGAGAATATGATAATTTACAAAAGCTTTGCGAAGAAATTCAAAAACAAAAAAATGTTCTTGAGACAAAAAGAATGGAATGTAAACAAAATAATAATGGTGGAAGTGCTTATATGAATTTAATTTTGTTGGGAAAAGGAGAAAATGAAAATTAATTTTTATAAGTATTTAAAAATATATTGACATTTATAGAATTAACGTTTTTTGTGTATTTTTTTTTAAAACCTCTAGATAACAAGGAAAAAATTTCGAAGAAGGTCGATAATAAGAGTCTCCTTGTCCTTATATTATGGCACACTAGAAAAGTTCAAAACTACGTACTTTTAATAACTTCGTAGGAAACAAGTAAATCAAAAGTATGTATAAATTAAAAGAAAAATAAGCTTTTACAAAAACTTTTCCCCATAAAATTTATTAAATCAAATAAATATATTTAAAATGAATTGGCATCAAAATATTTAAATACTTTTACAATAAAAAAAGAAAATAATTTAATTTAAATAATTGCCCCTATAAGTAGAGTTTACAATTTAAAATTTGGGGGAAATAATAAGTAAATGCTCATTATTTAAATAAAACTTCGTCCACTTTGATTAGATAATAGCGCTGCGGACGAAGAAAATGCCTCTATAGGATCTCTGTAAAAATTATTAGAGAATATGGGGAATTTTTTAAAAAATTAGTAAGATGAATAGAAAAGCAAAAGACTAAAAAATAAATATATTCAAGTTATTAACATTAATCATTTAAATTACTAAAAAATTAATTTTAGTCTTTTGCTAGTTTTAATTAAATTGGAGAAAATTAATATATATTTTATGTTAATGCACGCAAAAATTTAATTGGCAAGAAGGGAATGGAATTAGTTAATTGAAGGAGGATAAAATTGTAAATAAAAAATTATTGTTAGAAATTGGGGAACTACTAAATAAATTTTAGTATTTCAAAATGATTTTAAAAAAGTCAAATTTTTTGAAATATAACCAGAAAAATATTTTTTAATATTAATAATTAAAGTAGTTTGCATTTAAATCAAATGTAAATCAGAAACTTAAAAATAATCTTGAGAATTTTGAACTTTATCGTTTGATTTATCCCTGATAACTAAATTCATCAACAGGGACTAACTTTGAGTAGTTGTTAATTTAGGGTAGTTTTTGGGACAATATTACGCCTCCGCATTTAGGTCAGGCTTGCCTTCCATGAAATTAAAAGAGGGAGAAGTGAATAGGAGCCCAATAGTTTAAAATTCCTATTTATTTGGCCTAATATTAAACTTACCCCCAAATTCTGGTTATATTTCAAAAATTATTAGTTTTTTATTTCACTATTTACCGGTGAATAATAGCCTCAACAAAAGATTCAATGTTAACATAACCACCATTAGCGACCTCATGACCAGCCAAAAGTTGTTCAACTTCCTCATCGCTAAGACGTTCCCCCAAAGTTGTCAACAAATGTTTTAACTAGAATTTTAAAATTCTTTCAAACAAAAATTAAAAAAAACAAAAAACCTCAGCCACAGCAATAGTCCCATTTCCCTCTCGATCAAAATGAGAAAGTCCTTCAACGAATTGTTCTTTAGTAAATTGTCCCGAATTTTTGCTGACTGCTTGATAGATGGGAACAAATTCTTCAAAAGAAATACGTGCCTCTAAAAGAAATTTCTTTTACAAAAAACATTTAAATTTATTTAAAAATACCCGGATTAGTCCAATTTTCACAACATTTGTGAATCTCAGCTTCAGTTGGATTTTGACCTAAAGCTCGAAGTACATCACCTAACAAATATTTAAATTTTCAATTAAACAAAACTCTTCTCTTTTTTACTTACCAACTTGCTTTACATTTATTTTTTCATCTCCCTTCGAGTCAAAATAACAAAAAATCTAAAATAAAATAATTTTACGTTGAATAAAAATTAAATTTTTAAACCTCCCGACATTCGGCCAATTGGTCATCCATTTTATTCATTTAATTTTAAAATATAAACAGACTGATCTAAAAAAAGTGAAAAATAAAAAATGATAAATTAAGAGAATTATTGTAAGAAAATCTCCAAGGGATTTCTTTAATCCATCAAAAACAAAAGCCTTTACCAAGACTCAATTGTCCATTCCAACAGTAAAACAAAAAATACATAATGCCAACAAAATGATGATTCTTTAAATTTTTTAAATTCATTGAATGTTTGTCCTTGATTTTTTACTTTTTTTTTGTTGTTTTCGTGCTTGTTTTTATCAATCTTTTAAAAAAAAATTTTGACCGATCATTTTACATTTTCTTCTTTATTAGGTTTATGAAGCATACAAGACCTATATTTGACGAAGAACCAGCAATAAAAATAACTCGTTGTGGAAATTCTTCTATTTGTGTATATTTTTTAAATAATTTTAAATATTTTTTAAAAATTAATTTTAGTCTCAAAGAAACGGAAAAATAATGCCGGCATCTGAAAACAATCAGAATAATTCAAATCAAACAGGGGGAAATGCAAATGGTCCAAACTCTGCTGACAATTCTGTGGACACAAATCTTTATTCGCGTCAAATGTAAAATTATTAAATTAATCCTGAAAACTTTTTTATTTTAGTTATGCATTGGGCGAATCTGCCATGACTCATTTACGCAAGGCTTCGGTTTTGATTAGTGGTATTGGATCCGTTGGTCTTGAAATTGCCAAAAATGTTATCCTTGGTATGAAATTTTTTATTCTGTTTATTTAATTTTTGGCTTGTACCTGGCTTTCCTTTACTTCCGTATAGTCAAATTTTTTGTGTTTTCTTCGTTAATGATCAAATTTCGAACTTTAGATAAAACCAGATTATGTCTCATGGCCAGTGACTTGCGGTCTCTAGTTATTAATTAACACAGGCCCGTAGCCAGGGGGGGTGAGGGGGGGGAATTCCCCCCCCCCCCCCGAAATGGGAAAAAGGAAAAAATTTGAGGAAGGGCTGGGGCAAAAAAAGTGAATTTTTTTGGCCTACGGCCTTCGAAATTTTCAAAATTTTCGCCTGCGGCGCTAAAAAGGAAGAAATCTAGCTTCTTGAGGTCCAAAATTCAAAAAATTTTCGCCTGCGGCGCTGAAAATCAAATTTTTGGCGCCTGCGGCGCCGAAAAAGTGAATTTTTTTGGCCTTCTAAAATTCTCAAAATTTTCGCCTGCGGCTCTGAAAATAAAAATTTTTGGCGCCTTCGGCGCCAAAAATTTGGCGCAGAAAAAATTTTCCCCCCTTGGCCCCCCCCCCGAAAAAAAATCCTGGCTACGGGCCTGAATTAACATATGCATTAACAAACTACTTTAAGGTGGCGTTCGTCACGTAACTCTACATGACCAAAAACTTTTGACTTTTGGGGATTTATCAGCATGCTTTTATGCTGACGAGTCAATGGTGGGTGAGAATCGTGCCAAAATCGCTTTCACAAAGTTGGCCGAATTGAATGATACCGTCACTTGCGTTCTTCACACAGAAGCATTGAATGAGGAATTTGTGAAACAGTTTGATGTTTGTTTTAAAAATTAATAATTTTGGATCATGTAGGATGTCTTGTGAATTCTAATAATTATGGGTAAAATCCAAGCCACAAATTTTTATGATTTAGTTTCCAAATTAAGACTTATTTTTTTATTCTTTTCTAAACTAACGAGTTCTCTCAATTTTTAAGAAAATTTTCCCTAATGATTTTCCATTTTTAGTTAGTTATCGTTACTGATTCACCTTGGGAGGAGCAGATCAAAATTAACAACTGGATGCGGAAACATGGCAAGCTTTTCATTTCTGCTGATGCCAGAGGTCTCTTTTCCTATGCTTTTGTTGATCTTGGTGAGAAATTTGCTGTGCACGATGTTGATGGTGAAACTTATAATGAAGTGTTACTCGAGCATGTAAATTGTGAGACTGGAGAAATATTTACCCTTGACAAGGCTTATCACGGATTGGAAGATGGAGATCATATTGTTTTCGAGGATTTCGAGATTGCAGAACTTAATAAATTGACACCAACGCCAGTAAAGACAACTGCAAGTATGTTTGAATTAATTAATTGAATATATCTATATCTGATTTGTGAATTTATAGAAGGTCATATAATTAATGTTGGCAAAGCTCTTTCGGTCTTCTCATCAGTCATTGATGGCCCAATTTCTCGAGGAAGGGCTCGCAAAGTTAAAATGCCGAAATTTATTGAATTTAAATCTCTTGCCGAAGCACTAAAGTCCCCAGAATTTATGATTTGGGATTTTGCTAAATTTGATGGTCCAGAACACCTCCATCGCCTCTGGCAAGCACTCTACAAATTTGAGAAAAAGGTTTTATTTTTGTAATTTTTGGCGTTTAATGGCTCTTTTCTTCAGCACAAGCGTTCACCAAAACCCCGTTCCAAAAAGGATGCCGAATTGTTTAAAGCTGAACTTGAAGGGACTGGAACAGCAGAGATACCTGAACAATTGATGCTCAATTTTTCTTATCAGGTTCTAAGTCTATAAGTTTTTGTTTATTTTTGTTTTTAGGCCACTGGAAATCTTCAACCTGTTGCTTCTGTTATTGGTGGATTTGTTGCTCAAGAGGCATTTAAAGCTGTCACTCATCACACAACACCTCTGAAACAATTTTTATATACAGACTCGTGTGAAGCACTTCCTGGTGATTACTCTAGCTTTGATGCTCGTAAATTGTCTGAAAAAGATTGCGAACCGGTATGTAGAATTTAGCTTTTTTTAATTCTTAAATTTAAGCGCCAAACTCGTTATGATGGTCAAGCAGCTGTTTTTGGATGGGCATTCCAAGCAGCATTATCTAAACAAAATTGGTTTATTGTTGGCGCAGGGGCTATTGGTTGTGAACTTTTTAAAAATATGGCTATGATGGGATTGGCCGCGGGTAATGGTGGTCTACTTAAAGTCACAGACCCAGATACTATTGAAGTTTCTAACTTGAATAGACAATTCCTCTTTCGTCGACCTGATGTTGGGGTAATCTTTATATTCTTGGTGAATTAAAAACTGAGTTTTACAGAAAAAGAAATCTGAAGTTGCTGCTCGTTCTATCAAGCAATTCAACCCAGCAGTTAACGTCCAAGCTCTTTCTGACATTGTTTCTGAGGCAACAGAGAGTGTTTTCAACGATGACTTTTTCACTCAATTAAATGGTGTTTGTAATGCTTTGGATAATGTTGAAGCTCGTAAGTTTCTTGAATTATAATCTTAATTGTATTAAACTTTTTTGATTTTAGGTCGCTATGTTGATCGTCGTTGTGTCTATTATCAACTTCCATTACTTGAATCTGGAACGATGGGAGCAAAAGGAAATACTCAAGTGGTTTTCCCACACTTAACTGAATCATACGGGTATTTCTAAAGCTTTTTGGGTTCACCGGATTTCTTACTAGACACGAGCCTGATTTTCTCTTTAAAATTAATACAAAACTCAAAAATCCGTATTTCTGACAGACAGACAGTCAGGAAACCGGATGTACTGACATTAACTCTAAAAAGAGAATTTTTATATTTATTTCTTTAGTTCGACTTCTGATCCGCCCGAGTCAGAAACACCTGTTTGTACACTCAAGAATTTCCCATATCAAATTCAGCATACGATTCAGTGGGCTCGATCGGTACTTTTTAAAATTAAAAGCATTTTGAATTTATCATTTCATTTAGAAATTTGCTGATCATTTTACCTCTGTTGCAGAAACAGCCAATCAATATTTGGACGATGTAAATGGTTTTCTTGGCCGTCTTCAACAAATGACCGTTTCTCAAAAGGTTGTAATCAAATACCGGTATTCAAAAATGATTAATATAGATCGAATTACTGCGTGCATTAAACAAAGCTTTAATTGATGAATGCCCAAGCAGTACTGAAGATTGTGTCAAATGGGCACGTGATTTGTTTGATTCGCTTTATAGAAATGAGATTATGCAACTTTTGCACAATTTTCCTCCTGATCAGGTTATTTATTTTTAAAACGATTTAAATTCTTATTTTTAGGTTACTTCTCAAGGACAAAAGTTTTGGTCAGGAACTAAACGTTGTCCCCATCCATTGAATTTTGATGTTGACAATGTATTTTTGTAAAATTTTGTTTTTTAATTTTTAAAAACTTTTAGCCTGAACATTTGGAATTTGTTTATTCAGCGGCTTTTCTACGAGCACAACTTTATAATATTGAACCAATTAGTGACCCTATCAAAGTTGCTCATATTGCTCGCGCCATTATATCACCAGAATTTAAACCGAGAGAGGGCATTAAGATTGCAGTTACCGATGCAGAGGCTGCTGCTAACGATGAAGCTGGCCCTGAAGGAGGTTGATGATTTAATATTTTTTTTTATTTTCTTTTTATTTTAGATGACAGTGAAAAGCTTCTTGATTCTTTAAATATGAATTTGGCTCGTTTAAAAATTGACAATATTCGCCGTTTAACTCCAATCGATTTTGAGAAGGATGATGACACAAATCATCATATTGACTTTATTACTGCAGCTTCAAATTTACGTGCAGAAAATTATACGATTGAGAAGGCTGATAGAATGAAGGTTTTTTCTTAATTTTTAAAATTAGAAAACGATTTTTAAGACAAAACAAATTGCTGGAAAAATTATTCCCGCATTGGCTACGACGACTTCTGTTGTTGCTGGACTTGTTTGTATAGAACTTTATAAGGTTTTTTGATTTTAAGAAATTATATTTTATCAATTCTTTAGACTATTGAGGTTGAGGGCCAACGTTCAAAGGCACCTATTGAACGTTTTAAAAATGCTTTTCTTAACCTAGCAACTCCATTTATTGCTTTCAGTGAACCTGGAAAAGCAGCAAAAAAGAAGGTTTTTGAAATGAAAAAATTAAGAAAATATATATTTAAATATTTTAGTATCGTGATATTGAATTTACTCTTTGGGATAGATTGGAAGTAAATGGACCTAAAACACTTGGACAGTTTATTGAATGGATTGAGGTTGCAAATAATTAGAATTTTTATTCAAAAGAATGAATTTAGACACAAACTGGATTAACTGTCTCAATGATGTCTTCCGGTGTTTCACTTCTTTATGCTTTTTTCCAGCCACCTGGAAAAGTTGCTGAACGTAAAACCAGAGAGTAAGTTTAATTTTAAATTTTACGGTTAAGGTTTAAGAAAAGGTGATATCTAAATTTTTAATTTATTTATTCCATTAATTCGACCTTTTTAATACCCTTAATTATGTTTGGGAGTTATGTAATGCTTAAATCTTTGCACCATTATATTTTTAAATTTTTAGTGTTATTCAAGTGGTGGAGGAAGTGTCTCGTAATAAAGTTCCTCCATTTCGTCGTTCACTTGTATTTGAGGCAATTACTCAAAATGATAAGGACGAGGATGTTGAGGTAAAAAACTTTAGAATAGAGATTTTAAATAATATTTTTTATAATTTTAGATTCCTTATGTCAAATATAATTTTCGTTAAATATATATAAATTGATGCAAATGAAAATAAAGGGAGGGAGGGAAAAGTTTAAGAAAATTTATATGTTAATTTTGGTTTATAATGTTGATTATATTTGGTTAATTTTTTTTCTTTTTTTTCTAAATTTGTATTGACTTTCCTATGGAAGACTAAATGGTTAAGATATTTTGTTTTGTTTTAAACTTGATAAAATTGGATATTGATATTGAGTTTTTAATTGATTAATTGTAATGAGTTTAATCGGAAAAAAAGCGTAACTGATTGATCTCACGGAAACGAGGAATTCAAAAAAAAACAGGAGGGTAGATAAATAAATTGGATGTTAGTATTAACCGACTAATATCAAAATAAAATAATTTTTATGAGCAATTAAATTTATGCATTTTCTAATTATTTTTTTTTAAATGATAAATCAAAACAGCCAAAACCATATCTGTTTAATATAGTTGATAAAAATAAAGCAGAGTAAGAAATAGTGAGAGTAAATGATAGAGCACAGAAAAATAATTGCACAAAAATTCAGAAAAAATCCAAATTTTTTAAAAGATAAAAAAGGGGAGAAGGCGACTAACTTCTGGGAAGAAGCAAAAAGAAAAAAATAAGGAATTAAAAAAAAGAAATATCAATTATTGTATAAAGGTAAATAAAGAATACAAAGAAATGCATTGAGTGGGAAATTAAGAGGCTAACAAAAAATGCTCTTTGATATTTATTGAGAATATTATGCAAAAATTGTAAAGGGGTTTTGTGTTTCTTTTTGTTTAATATGTAGAATTTGTGAGTTTTAGTTGAGGGGAGGGTGGCATTTTAACAGGAATTTCATCAGAGGAGATTTTGAATTATGCACGAAGGATTTTGAAACAAGGAAGGAACTCTATCAAATCCCCATTTCGTCTTGGAAAACCCTGAACTAATTAAAAAAGTTTAGTAAAAATTGGGTGAATTTCTAAAAAGAAATATACAAAAAGAAACATTAAAATTTAATTAAATTAATTATTGTTTATCCATTACTTATCCTTCTCCATTGCTTTTCTCTCAAAGCAAGTAAATTAGCATTATCGTTATTTCGTTGTGGTTCCCAATCAGAAGCTTGTGTTTTCCATCTTTCATAATTTTCTTCTAAACGGGTTAACAAGTGAGGTAAGGCAGCAAATTCGCACCATCCAGTAAATGTTTCTCTGGCAAACATATCAACAAATGTACACTTAAATTAAAATAATTTTTGGAGAGGAAGGAGTTTTAATTCGAAGGATTGTTTGGTCATTTTAATGTTGTCCTAATTTTTAAGAGACCCTGTATCTAAGAAAAACTAATGTAAGAATAGACCACGCACTGAGAGAAAGTTAACCCCGTCCTTTTTCACACACAAACACAAAACCCACCTGTGTCAAAGGAACATTACAGGTTTCTCTATCAAATCCTTTCATTGTAACAGGTAATTTTCTTTCAACTTCCTCTGCTGTTTGATCAAAATATTCTTGTACAATACGTAAAGCCCATTCATGACATAATCTCCATTCTCGTGTTGGATTGGCAATATCCGCACATTTAACCATCTTTTAATTTAAAAAATTATTTTTGAAATTTTATTTAAGGAAGGAGAAGTCCTTTCATTTAACAGTAAATATGTACAGGTATAATTTCCCAATTAACTTAAAGTCATTAACTTTTCCCTAAAAGGAATTAGTGACTCAGATTTTAATAAGATCCCCGTCTTCACATTTTCTCCCTCATTTATTTCCATTATCTAATTTTAACCCCCTTCCTTACCATTCTACAAATAATCATTGAATTTGTATCCCTATCCTCCTCTTCTTCCTGTTCAGCTTCTTCATCAGCATTTCCAGGTAATATAGCCATTAATTGTTGAAATTTAGCCAAGTGTTCAAAATGTCTACTCATATCTGTTGCCAAAACCATATCAATAACTGATTGACGCATTTGAACAAAATCATCACGTGGCATTTGGGCAAAAATGTTAACGCCGGGTTGAGAAAGTGTTAATTGAAAGGCTAATGCTACCTTTAAATTTAAAATATTTTAATATTTGCTCTAGAAAAATAAAACAATTTTAATTAGTAATTAATCAGTGAATCCCTCCTTGAATTATATTTTCACTTATCTTTCTATTTTACTTAGTAATAAAATAATTAAATTTATGGTCTTCTTAAGTTTGACTATTAATTGTTTTTAAGAAGCAGTTAGAGAGCACATAGTAAGTTACTTTACTCACGTCAATACATTCGACTTTTAGATATATGTCAGATGAGTTTATTAGAGTCTCAAACTGAAAACTTAAAGGAGGATTCTTGAGAATCCTTCCCAAATAAAAATTAAAAATTTACGTGATGATTTTCCAAAATAGAATGGTCATTATATAAAATAGCTAATCGTTGTCTGGTATTCATTAAAAAAGCATTTCCCCTCCCAGGATGGTCTAAATCATGAACTGTTGCTGCTATTAATGCTGCCAATGCATGATTATCTTGAATTAATTGACCAACCTTTTTAAAAAAAATAAATATTTTCCAAAAAATTTTTTAAAATTTACTGGATCAGAAGAAAGAAAATAAGAAGTTGCTTGTAATACATCAGCAGCGTGTGTAGCATTGTGATAAGCATTGCCAGATTGGTAATTGGCTTCGATTATTGTTAACCATTTGTGTAATCTGTTTTTTAAAATTTTAATTAAAGTTTTGTTGAAAGCTACATATCAGGGGTGGCCCTGGTCCCACAAAATACGAGACATGAGATACAAAACTAAACCCACCCCTGGTATAAATCCAATAAAAAAATTTTTTACTTTACTAATAAAAATATTTAAATATAGTATTTACTCGATTATTTCCCCAACTCACAGATGGGTTGAAATATAATTCCCCAGAGGAATTAATCGAGTAACTACGCTGTCCAAAAAATATTTGACAAAATTTCTGAATAATTATTTCCTAATCATTTTTAATATTTTTATCAATCTAATATTCTTTGTTAACCTATAATATTTAATTATTCTCTCTTTTGTTTTCGTTTTTTAGTTCAATTAAAGAGAGAAAAAATATTTCTTTTCAAATTAAAAACACCTACACATCAGAAGAGCAATGTAAAGCTTCACAAACACTCCATCTTTCAAAAACTTTAAACCCTAAATTAGCCAGAGGATGTGAATCTGTAACCCTTTCTAATTCAATAACATCAAAATCCCAGCAATGTTCTTTCTCCAAAACTTTAAATATTTCTGCCGACACTCTCCTCCCTTTTTGTTTAAAAATAATATTTTCTAATAAATTATTTGTTCCTTCTTCTTCCTCCTCCTCTTCTTCTTCCTTTTCTTCTTCTCCATTTTTGTGAAGACGTTTTAAATTTTGTTTTTGTTCTTGTAAAGAAGTTCCTCCTCCTACTCCTAATGTTGTTAATCCACTAATACAACTACCGCTAGATGCTCTACGTTGTTGATGGTCACGATATGCTTCTACTACAGAACGTTTACGTTGACGAGTTGGATGGTGTAACTGAAAAGAAAGATTAGATAGTTCTTAGAGGGTTTGAAAGGGAATGATTATTTTTGAAAGAAATTAAAGCTTAGTTCTTTATTATCCAATTTTTAATTAAAAAATAAATTAATTTACCCTAATTAATCCATCATAATATCCACTAGCTATTCTATCATTTTCTCTAAAACGAGTAATTGTTGGAGTATAAAGTTCTGAAGAAGAAAGAATACGCATTGCTTCTCGTAATTGTATTTGAGTTTCTTCATCACAACGGTGGAATATACTCGCTAAAGCATTTAATGCCTAAATAATAATTTTAAGAAATTATTTTCTTTCTCCATAAATCTAAATTAAATTTGAAGAGGGCTAACTCAACAAACATTAAATAACCCCTCAAGCTCTTATCTATTTTTGGATAATCTTTTTTTTTGAATATTTAGGAGGACTTTAATTTTCCCTCAAAATATATTAATTTAAATTTGGAAAAAAATAATAATTTAAAAAAATGCCTCGGTAATAGGCGCATCAACAAGTGCAGCATTAGAAGAACGTCCGCCTTTTTCATTACGAAAGAAAGCAGCTGAAAATAAATAATAATGCATTGAATACCTTTAAATAATTTTAAAGAAATATTTTTTTATTTTAGACAAAAAATAATTTTTTCTAAAATTTTTTTGAACTTATTTAAAGTCCCCCCATTCTCTCATTTTTATTGCCAATTTAAATATTATTATTAAACAAATATTATAAAAATGCCCATTCATAAAAATCATCTTTTAAAAAAATAATAATAATGTTTCTCTTTCATGAGAAAATAATAAAAAAAATGATTCATAAAAAAATAAAATTTTTTATAAAATTTTAAAAATATTTAAATAATTTTACCATCAGCACTTCCTCGCTTTACATAAATATATTGATGATGGCTGTAAATAAAAATTATTTATGGATTTATTAAAAATTAATTACTTAAGTAAATCTAAAAAAATTAACAAGATAAAGTAGAGAATGAAGAACAACCAAAAAGATAAAAAAAATTTCTAATAATTGGGAGTAAGATTATGCGGATATCCGAAGATTTTCCAGGATCCGCCAACATTACTTGGAAGAAGGTTAAAATATTACATTAAAAATTTTTTTTATATAATATGTATGAATATATCAAAGGAAAGATGTGATATCTTTTTCAAACCCTTAAAATAGGCACTCCTAATCACTATTATAAACAAATATTTCTTTTAAAAAATAATTTTCACCTTTTCGAACTTGTAGGTACAGCAATACATTGCCAATCTGATGATCTTCTTCTCGTAGCATTTAAAGGAAATGTTGGACTATTTGTATTTCTTTCCAAAATTTCCTCACAAATACTTTCTGCTCTAGCTATTGGAGGTGTTCCTGTAACTGTCATTACAGGAGGGGGATGTGGAGGAAGAGATGGAGGGTGAGGAGGGGGAAGTGAAGTACTCCAAGATATAGAGGAGGGGGCTACTGCTGCTGTGGCACTTGCTGCTATTGTAGCTGTTGCTATATGATTGGGAAGTAGTTGTTCTCTATGGTGATGATTTCTTTGAGCTTAAAATTAATTTAAAAAAAAAATTCTGAAAAATTCTTAAGTAAATTTCTGGATGACTGAGAATTGCTTTAAAAACTTTAAATATTTATTTATTCCAAAATTTATTCAAAGGAGATTTAAACAAATTAAAAAATATAATTTTCTAGTACCTCCTCCCCCAAATTCATTAGAACCATCAGACCCCAACAAAACAGCTCGATTTCTACCCGTAAGCATTTCGAACGCTTTGTTTACGTATTGAACCTGCAAACAATAAATATTTTCTAAGTAATTTTTTTAAAATCCTCCTCACAGTGTTACGCTCGTCACAAATTTTTATTGGTTGCTGTGCTTCCTCAACAACAGTGAAAAGGGCTGGAACAGCGCGAAGCCGAGAACTCAGACAGGAAAATTGCTCACAGAGGGAAATATCAGTTGAAGAACGTAATAAATACTGAAAATTTTAAAAAAATTTTTAGAAAAATTTTGAGAGTAAAATAAAAAAAATATTTTTAATGGAAAGGAGGGAAAAAAATAAATAGAAAGGAGAGAAAAATAAAAATATATATTAGGATTGACAACATATTATGAATAATATTTAGTAATTTAATTAAGTCAAGAGCTTATGAAATAAATAAACAAGATGATCGAAAATCTTTGCAAATAATAATTTAATTAATTTTTATGTAAATTTTAAAAAAATCTGTTAATATTATAGAAAATTTAAATTTTCATAAAATATTTTCATAAAAATACTAACAAAAAATTTTACTAAAAATTAAAAAAAAGAAAAGAATCTTTCAGAGAAAGGAAGTGAGAGGATAAAATACGTCAAATGGCATGGCACATTGTTAACCGCGTCATTTCAACAAGTAAAAAGAGAGGAGGAGCGCTAAACTGTTTTTGAATGCGCAAAAACATTGAAAGGCTAACAACTAATTTTAAAATAAAGAAAAAGATACATGTATGTATGTACATAAATACATAATTATTTAACAATTAAATTAAAAAAAAGAAAAGTTTTTAAATAAATAATTTAAATTAAATAAAAAAAAATTTTTAAATTAGAGAATTTATGTATTTATTTTTGGGTTAATTCTACAAAAAGGGGGAGGGAAGGAGGGGAATTATTTATAGTTCCAACTACAACATTCTGAATAATTTATACAATTTCTCAATTTCAATTTCGAATTTATGTAGATATATTTACATATACCTACCTATTAATTAAAAGAAAACCCTAAATTATCTGAATAAGAAAAAAATTATGTAAACAATAATTAACTAAAATAATTGGTAATTTAAAGTGGGAAAATAAAAGATAAATAAATTTTTAGATTGTGATTAGTTGAAATTTAAAATAATAAAAGGGGGTCTTTAAATTATTTAAAATTAGAATATTTAAAAAAAGAACCAAATATAGTATAGCTAATAAATTAATTAAATTTAATTAGAGAATTTTGTATTTTTATTTTTAAAAATAAAAAAATTTTTTCTCTAAATAAATTAAAATAATTTACAAATGTAGCAGAAATTGCCAACATTGATATTAATTTATTTGAGAGAATAATCCCCGTGAAAAGGGGATTTTAAATATCGAAAAAAGATTATTATTAGGAGAAGAAGAGAATAAAAGATTTAAATATTTAAAAGAATTTGCACAAAAATATATTTATTTAGAAAATACAAAAAACTCTTTTTTACATACAAAATGAAAGCACAAAAATTAAAATAAATGAAGGAGAAAAAATAATTTTAATTTTTAAAAATCATTAAAAGTTAAAATAATAGCAAAATTAATTTTTTAAAGGATAACCAACTCTCCACAAAAGTTTAAAATTTTTTAGTAAAATACATAATTCAAAAATAAAGATCAGAAACTGAAAATTACTTTAAAAAATTATTAAAAAAGAATAATTTCCAGTGAAATCAAAAATAAAATTTTTTCTAGATTTTTTACAAAAATTCACAAAATATAAACCATAAAAAATATTTATTTTTCTTTTATGAGAATTATTATTTAAACTTTGATAAACACCTGCAAAATATAGCCAAATCACCCCCCCCCCTCTCTTTTTTTCATTTACTCTCACACATACTAAACGTTTTTTCGCCAAAATGCGCTGACGCATTGAGAGATAGGGGGGATGGAAATGTACCCAAAAGAAAATAAAAATTCGAAGAAAAAAAAGATTTTTTTTGGGAATGAGAAAAGAGAAAGAAACAATTTAAAAAGTGAAAATATAAAATAAATATATATTTGTTCAATTGTTTTTAATAAAATAAAATATAAAAATAATTATTATTAAATAAATAATAGCAAGAAAAATAAAATATAAACTTCAAAAAGGATTTGGGAAAAATTAAAATTCAATTAAGAAACTAATTAATAGAAAATAAGTTTTTGAAAGAAAAATTGTTAAAGAAAAATAAGTTTAAAACTCTAAAAGAATTCAAAAATTAGATAGATAAAATAAAACCATTTAAATATTTAAAAAAATTTTTTAAAGGAATGTGTCCAGACAGAAAAACCACATGTAAATAATAAAAACTTAACATATTTTAACAATCAAAAAAAGTTGACAGAAAAAATAAAATCGTAAAACATAAAGGTCATATTTAAATAAAAGTTTCAAATTTAAAAAGAAATATTTTTAAATTAGTAAATTGTTAAGGAATAAATTTAGTTAAATTTGGTTTTGTTTCGAGAATAAACCGAAAAATACGGGAAATATAAATGGATATTACTGAATATTTTGGAATATTTTTTTAGTTAATTTAAGTATATTTTAGTAGGGTTGTCGGTTCCTGGAAAATCTTCGGAATCCGGAACCGAACCGAAAAATCCTCGGTTCTTCGGTTCGATCTAGAACCGAAACCCCTATATTTTAGAAAATAATTTTTAAATCAAAAAAAAATTTCTTTCCTTACATTAGTAACAACACTTTGTTTAGACATATGCCGCAATCTCCTCTCATTAGGTAATTTATCAAATAACCAAACAAAAAGAACATCTTCCACATCTGTTGTTAGTAATTGTTTTGATTGTTCTACAAGTGCTTCTTTTAACAATCTAAAAAATATTTTTTAAATTATTTTTAAAAATTTTAAATAAGAAAGATTATATACATCAAAACACTAAAGATAGTTCTCCTTACAAAACCAAAACCTTTTGGATTCAAATTTTTAACTAAAAATTGAAGCCAAAAGGTTTTTTCTAACCCTATTTTCCAATTTTTAGTGTTTTTTTCAATTTTCGAGGTTTATTTTAACTAATCTTTACGAACATTTTGACTCATGACAGCTCTGATACAAATATTTATTAAAATAGTAACAGAAAGTATATCTTAACTCTAATTTTAATAAAATAATTAATTAATTAAATTATTCAATAAACAAAACTCCCACCTAAACAATTCATTAGCAAAATATTCTCTACGTCTACTACCACAATGAGTAATTCCATCCAATAAAATAATGACAGGTCTTCGAGTGCGAACTTCGTCTAAAGCTGATTGTGAAGTACAGATCTTTTAATTGTTTTTATAAAAATAAAATTAATTTTAAATTTATTTGGATTTTGATTAAAAAAATAATTTTCTTTAATTTAAAAAATCGGTAATCCTTAAGATTTTTCGGTAATCCTTAATTATTTTAAATATATTCATTCACCACCTCTATTTCCCAACCAGCTTTCCTTAAATTACAAAACAAAGGGCAATCATTAATAGAATTTGAGGAACAAGTTGGTTTGTTATTAAATATATTTCCAGTAGAAGTTGAAAAAGAATTAAGCACCAATAAAGCCTTAAAATTAAAGTTTAAATCAAAAAACAATTTTTCTCTTGTTTTTTACCCTTTTGCAATGTCTCAACAACATAGGCCCGTATTGTTCCATTTGAGTGGCAGATGCGCGTCTGGCCATAAATGACGAGGGATCGCCATTAGAAGAGAAAGAAGTTGGAGGTGAGGAAGGGGATGAACAAGTTGGAGAGGAAGCTGGATCGGTCTTTTTTTTGAAAATTAAAAAATAAATTTAAAAAATAAAAGAAGATAATGTTAGGTATTTAAATTGAAAATTAAATATTTACATAAATAATTAGATAAATAATGGGTGGTACCCTTATAAAAACTTTTATTTATTTAATTCTTTTAAAATTTAATTTTTCCTTTACCGTTCCTTGTGATGAAAGCATTGGTTGCCCTTCAGCTGTGTCAATTCCTGAATTTGTGCCCTCTGCATATTGAACGGCGCGACCGGGCGGCCGACCAATCCTTTGATGAGTACCCTTGAGAATACCTTCTGGCTGTCTTCTGATTATGCTATCGGTGGGTTTAACGGCCTATTTTATTTTTTAATTAATGAAAAGGAAGGAAAGTAATTTTTGTGATTTTATAAAAAAATATTTAAAATTGTTCTATTACCAAGGGTTCCACAAAAATTATTGAACCACGAAAAAGGTATTACTGGGAGTCAAACGTTATTTTTAACAAATTTTATGTTTTATATAAAAATAATAATTTACAGTTGAAAAAGTGTTTGTTGAAGAAGATTCAGCCAATGTCCGCAATTTAGTCCCAAGTCCATCATTATTTTCCCCTTTGTTCCCTTTCTTCTTTTTCTTATGATGACGACGTTTTCCACCGTTGGCCACAGCTTTCAAAGCAATTAAATTGCTAGGTGACGCATTTCTATTTTTTATAAGGAAGTTTAAATAATTTTAAAAGTTTTTTAATGGATTTTATAAAGAAATATAAATTTATATTTGTTAAAAGAAAAACAAAAAAAGTTTTTCTTTGAATTTTTTTGTTCAATTTACTTTAAAACATAAAAATAAACTTTTAAGGTGTTTCGTTGAAAATAAAAGTTGAAAGTACAAAAATATTTTTTTAATTATTTATATTTTCCTTTATTCCAAATGTTAACTTAACAAGTCCAAAGATTTAATTTTCAATAGAGGGCAAATAAACCCTCAAAAACATCCACCGTAAAACTTTGAATAATTACCCTGGGCAATTATTGTTTTGATCTTCCACTGAAGGGAGTAATTAATTGAGAGGAGGGTAATTACATGATAATTATTGAACGTGTTTTAGGGCATTTGTTTGGAGGTAATTATTATTTCAATCTATCGGTGGAGGGGGTAATTAATACAAGTGGGGTAATTATTTAAGGGAGGGCAATTAATTAGGTTATACGGTAAATATTAAATTCTCTCCAATTATTTTATTAAATATTTATTTTCTTTTTTCCCTACTTACGGGCTATGTTGTCTCGAATTTTCATCTTCCTGTGAACTTAGTGAAGCGGAAGAGGAAGAACAAGAAGAAGAAGAAATAGAATGGGATGAGGCACAACAACTCCAACGCATTTAAAAGAAGCGCAAAGGCAAAGGAAAAGTTAAAAATTTAAATTCCAATTAATTGTTAAAATGAAGAAAATAAATAAATATATATTCTTTTTTCCATTTTTTGTTTTGTTGTTTTTAAATTGATGAAACAAAATAATAAAAAGAAAATAATTAAATGACTGGCAGCAATAAAAACAATAAAAATAAATTTATTGGCGTTGTGTTTTAATTTTGTTTTTTGGTCCCCAATTTATTTATTGCCGCCGCTGTTTCTTGAACTATTTTTACTAGGAATTTAGCGGAACGGTCAGCACCTGAAAATTTTAAAATAAAAAGAAAAAGAAAATTAAAGAATAAATTTTTTAGAAATTAAAAATTAAATATATTTTAAAATATAAAGAGGAAAAAAAGTAATTAAAATAAAATAATAAAGAAATTAAATTTTTACGAAAAAATTCGTTGATCAAAAATTAGTTTATTCAATAATTTTACAAACAAAACTAAAATAGACTATTTTTACAGAAGTTTTCTGATTTTGAGTTCTTTTTATCATTAAATAATATTTTTGCATTTATACAGGTTTTTGAGGCAAAACAAAAAAATTTAAAGATTTAAAAATTTCAAGTTAAATACTTTCCAGCCATTTTTATGTATAAATTAAAAATTTTATTGGCAAGACTGCTAAAATATGTATTTAAAAAGATTTTGCAATCGTTAATATTAAATAATAAATGAAAAAAAATCTCCGGAAATAATTTTTTAATTAACTAATTAATTAATAATCCTTCTCCCCCATTTCACCGCCACCCACAAGTCTACATAAATGTTTGTCTGTTGACCGCAACTTCCGGGCACGTGTGAAACTAAAAAAATATTTTTATAAGAAGTCCTCGAATAATAACGAAATCCATTTTCCAATATTTTTAAATTTTTTAAAATAAAAACAAACAAAAGTTTAATGTAAGGGCGAATTATCATTTATCAATAAAAAAATTTTTTTTTATTTTCCCAAAAACAGAAAATGAATAATTCCTACAAAAAGGAGGTTAGATAATCAAAAATATTATTTGAATGAATATTGAGATTAAATAAAAGAAAGAAACCAGGAGTTCAAAGTTTTAAAAAATTATTAAAATAAATTCAAAATAAAAAAAAATATTTTTAATTTAAAAAATAAAATCAAAAGAAAGCTGTCTTAATAAATTCAAATAAAATATGATTAAGTGCAAGTAGAATTAAGGGACAGCCGAAAAAACGAAAGAAAAAGGACACGCGCACAAATAAAATGAAAAGAAGACATGATATACATAGCAGTTATTGTGGTGGGTGTGGGCAGTAAAGGCCCACAACCAAGGCCCAAAAACCTCAGACGGACAAAGACTGCCCCAAGTGTGAATGAATAGAAAATAGAGGAAAGGGGGAGGAGGACGAGGATGGGGGGTAGGCGAGATTGGAGAGAGAGAAAGCTAATGTTGAGGTTGGAAAGAAATTGTGGGGGGAAGTATTGGAAGAAGTCTTGGGGGTATGGGGGGGGGGATGTGTGAGAAGCTTTGAATAAAAAAAAAGAAGAAAGAAGAAGGGTTGTGATTGAGGAAAAAGAAAGTGGAAGTAAAAGAAAAGGAAGAAGAACAACGCTGCGAAATGGGCAGCCGCTTCTTTGCTTTCATTTCTTCACTCTTCTCTATGGCTGCTACCAGCCACCCCAAAACTCCAACAGACAATGTAGAGTCGAATTGCGTTCACGGGGGGACCATCGATTGAGAAATGTTAAGGGAAAGGGAAGAAGAATAAAAAAAAGAAGAGTGGTCCTAGTTGTGAAAAGGAAAAAAATCGTCAGTGGAAGAGAAGGCGGTTGGCAAGAAATAAGGTCGAGACCAATCGAGAAAGAGAAAAAAGAATAAGAAAAGTTGGAAGAATTAAAATGGCTGATAGACAAGAAAATGAAAAGAGAAAATTTATATAAATAATACATTAACAATTGTGTGTTTGTAAATTGTCCATGAGAGGGCTGAAGGGGAGAAGAGAGAGACAATTAACAAGTGGAAGGGATGAAGTGCTGGTGGTGGTGAATGTATGTGTTAGAAGTGAAAAGGCCGAGAGCCACTAGCGGCTGGCAGCAAAAGCAAAAAAGGAAAAGCTGGCAAATGCTGGAGGGGGTGGCCCCAATTAGCGATGGCTTCTTTTTTTATTCTTTTATTTCTGGCGGCATAAATAAGAGCAAAAGGGCAAAGCATTTTTGATGTAGTGTATATGTAGTTAATGTGAGGGGGGATATTTTTTTCTAAAAAAATAAGGGAAACGAGGGAAATAACGTGCAAAATTGCCCCTTGGGTTAAAATGAAGAAGGCATCGTTAGTGGCATTTTTACTTGAAGAATTTTTTTACTACTCAACATTTTCATCAACGGCCATTTGTCAATTGATGACACCAACATCCCCCCCCCCTTTTTTTTTTATCCAATACTAAATAGGTTGACTGAAAAATGTCAAAAATGTTTGTACTATTATTTTAAAAATAAATAAATATATTAGTTAAAATTATTGTAAAAAATGGGGACATCCCTCAGAGAAAAAGCCAAAAGTAAATTGGAAGTCTGAGCAGAAAATAAAATTTTTAATTAAAAAATAATTTAAATAATCAGTCATTACACATTTAACAATATTTTTAATTTTTATAAATTGTCACTCCATAAAAGGGATGTTGAAAATGGCACTTATTTTGACAGAAAATGAAATGAAAAAGAAGGATGATTCTTTGTCGTAATTGCGCTTTTTTGACAGGTCTCTAATGTTGGAAATGGAAAATAAAATGAAAAAATAAATTTAAATTATTTAAATTTGTTATAAAATAATTTTAGATTTTCTTCTCTTTTATTTCTCCTCAAATAATCTAAATATTCCCTTTTCTCTTTTCCCCGTTCCTTGAAAACTTATATCCAATATTTTCCCATTCTTTTACCGTCCGGTAAAGGTAAAGTTAATGCCCAATATTTTTAAACATCCGATCAAAAGGATCCCCCCCCCATTTTTGTTTTTTTCCACTTTCCCAATATCTAGGGGCCAAACTTTTCTCTTCCCCAATTCCCCCAACTCTTTTCAATATCCTTGATTCTTTTTGCTTTCTTTTTAAGTTACTCCAATTTAAAGGTTATTTTTAACAATATTATCAAACCTTTTACGTAAAATATTCTTCAATTCCCCCCATATTTGTTTTTGTTTTTTCCCCAATTTCCTTTCCAAAATTACAATAATTCCTTTTCTTCTCATTTTTCAAAGAGAGAAATGTTTCATTCTTTTTTACTAAAAAAATACAGGAAATACTTTCAAAAAAACTAGACAAAAATAATGATTAAATTTTCTTTGTTAAAAAAGCTAAATAAATAAAAATATTTTTTGTTGTCCTAATTTTTTTTGTTCAACTAAATATTTTAACGAGCATAGGGAAAGAATGAGTTTTTAACAGTAAAAAAAGAAAGATAAATTTAAAAGAAAAATAAATAAATAAAAAATAAAATTTACAGTCGTCGACATAAAGATAGGGACAAGAGTAATTTAAATTTAAATTCTTAATTTTTCATTAAAAAAATAAGTTCTATATACCAATCGAAAGCTCTATTCGTATCTCAGTTGACATGTTTCTGCATTTTTCATGAAATCGAAAGTTGGTCGAGATAATCCGGATCTACCGGATATACCAAATCCCATATCCTCGGAAAAATTTTTCTGAAAAAATTTGACAAACCCATTTGATAAAGCATATTTTTGTGAGTATTTTCCACAAAACCGCTTAAAAATATCTTTGTCCGGTCCAGAGATATGATTTTTTGAAAATCGCATTTTTAGCCTATTTTTGCAAAAAATTCAATTTTTAAGTGAAAAATGCGATTTTCAAAAAATCATATCTCTGGATTGGAAAAAGATATTTCTAAGCGGTTTTGTGGAAAATACTCAGAAAAATATGCTTTATCAAATGGGTTTGTCAAATATTTTCAAAAAAATTTTTCCGAGGATATGGGATTTGGTATATCCGGTAGATCCGGATTATCTCGGTCACTTTTCATTTTCATGAAAAATGCAGAAACATGTCAACTGAGATACGAATAGAGCTTTCGATTGGTATATAGAACGTATTTTTTGACTGAAAAATAGTTAACTTTCATTTAAATTACTCTTGTCCCTATCTTTATGTCGACTACTGTATTTATTTTAAGGCAAACATTAAATAAATAATTCTTTTAATGTTCTTTGAACGTTTATTTCCTCATTTTCCCCTTTAGGGCTATGACGCAAAATAAATGCTTTCGCAAAAGAATTTTTTGCCAATAAAAAAAGCGCAAAAAATTAAAAGAATATAGGCCAATAAAAAATAAAATAAAAATAAATATTGAAAAATTTGAACAAAAAACTAAAAATAATTTTAGAAATAATTTAAATATTAATTTTTGTCAATAAATTAGGCTAATTTGGAAGAAAAAAAATAAAAATAAACAACTTAAAATAAACTTTTTATTTCATTTTTGTTAGAAAGGAAAAAAATGTGTGTGTGATCGTTAAAAGAATTAAATAGCTTAATAATAAAAAAAAGATTTAATGAAGGCAATTAGGAAGTAAAAAATAAAAGAAATAAAATATATTTATTCTTAAAAATCTTAAAAAAATTAAAAAATCAAAGAACATTTTTGAGGTAAAATTAAATAATTTTTTTGTTTAAAAAAATTTTTAATGTAACAATAAATGACTTTTTTACTTACGAAAAAAGGAAGTTTTGTAAGCTGGGTTAGTATATTAAACGAAAAATTCTGTGGTATCTATTTCTGAAACAATGATTTTTTAAATTTTTACGAAGGGGGAGGGGGGAGGTAATGAAGAGTTAATAATTTTGTTAAGTTACTTATTTGTAAAAAATGATAAAAATAATTTAAAAAATAATGCTACAAAATCTCTAATTTATAGCTCAAATTCTAAATATAGAATATTTTTATAAAAAAACATTTCCAAAATCATAGTAGAATAAATTTTATTTTTTAAAAGCTAATTTTGAAAATAAACAGAAAAAAAGAATTAATTAAAAACCACAAATAAATAAAATAAATTCATTAAAACAACAGTTGGCGCCAGATGAGCCAATGTTTTAAGTGAATAAAAATAATAAATATTTTATAAAAATACATACTTTTTAATTAGCGCAGTTTATTTAAAAAATATATTTTAAATTCAAAAATACCCCCCTCCCCTTCCCTTACCTTTCTCTGAAATCTCCTTAAAAGCCTTCGACGAAGAAATGCTCTTCTTCTAAGAAGTGCTCTTAAAAATGCTTTTTTGTTGTTAAAATTATTAATGTTGAGAAATGAAGTCAACGACTTTGCTTCACTTTCATTATAATTATTTATTGTCTCTTCAGAGTTTTGAGAAATCTGAAAAGGAAATTAAAATAATTTTTTAAAATTTAGCTCATTACTAAAATTTTAAGAAAGAAAATAAAAAATTCCCCGAATAATTAAATGTGTTTAGTCTTTATTAATTCAAATTTTAGATCATTTACTTTTTTCCTCCAAGAGTTGCAAGAACAATAATGACCGTCTGTGCCTGGCTCGCCTATTGGCCCTTTCTTTAAAAATAAATATATTTAATTATAAAAATATAAAATATTTACCTTTCCAGGCGGCCCTTGAATGCCAGGGAAATCTTTAGGTCCTTGTGGACCTATTTGTCCGACTGGGCCTGGCGGTCCTTAATAAAATTTAAAGTTAAAGAAATCCAAAATATATTTTCAAACACACACACACCTACATCTCCAGGCAATCCTCTACTTGCATTTAATTTAACAACTTAAAACAAAAATATAATTATTTGAAAAACAGTTTGAAGCTTGCCTGTTTCACCTTCTAATCCAGCCTGGCCAGTAATGCCTGAATCACCGGGAGGACTTGAAATATTTTTTGAAGGATTATAATTAGCTTATATGTAAATTTACTTAAAAAATTTACCCAGTTAGCCCAATTTCCCCATCACGCCCGGCACATCCCTGTATTCCTTTAGTGCCAACTAATCCAGGTAATCCAGGGACTAAAATAATAATTCAAATAAAATATAAATAAAGGAAAAATACATCCAGGCAGACCAACAGGACCAGGCATTCCAGCGGGACATTGAATACATTCCTTTTGTAAAGATATATTAGTTAAGGTAAAAGAAGCATTTAAGCCGGGCATTCCAGGCTCTCCATCAATTCCATTGTCTATTTTTGTGTTTTGATCTTATTTAAGTTTGTTAATTTAGTCTACCTCCAGGCAATCCTGGCTTTCCTGGACGGCCTTGTGGACAAACTGGGCATTCTTTTCTTTTCTCAATCGTCTCTCTTTTTGTTGTGATTGAATCAACTTTTGATAATCTTTTTTGTTTTTCCATATAAATTAATTCAGTAATTGAATGGTTAAATGATTTCTATATTGAGAAATTAAAACATTTAATTCTTAAAGTTAATTTTTAATATGTTAGAGCTAGAAATACTTTACCCATCTCAAGAATTTTAAACCAAAAATTTACCAATTAGGGGTAAGAAAAAATTAAAACTTTTTCTACCTCAAAATTATTCATTATTTTATCAATTTCTTGTTCAATTTTATATATTTCATCAAACAAAAATATTGTACTAATCCAAATAATAAAAAGGGCAAAAGAAATAAATCCAAATAATAATTTTAAAATAAACGTGAAAGAAAAATGTTGAGGATTTTTAATTTTTGAGTTTCGATGTTTTATATTCTGATTTTGCATTTTATTATTAAAATATCTCTTTAAAAGTTCTATTGTGAGCCACACTTTTAGTTACATTTTTAAATTGTATAGTAAATAATAAACTATAAATCGCAAGATCTTTAATTTATAAAAAATCGAGAAGAATAAAAACAAATTTTTTGTAAATGATTTCTTTGACTTGTTTTTTTTATAACTTGATCTCCATTCACTCTACAATAATTATTTTTTTGTTTCATTCCTTTCACTAGAATACACTCTAAAAGTAACTTAAAAACATTCTTTTTAAGAAAAATAATTATTTGAGAGCTTTTTACTTTTACTAGCGAAGGTGCTCGCCCTTCGGGCGAGCGCCTCCGCTAGACTAAATCTAAATCATAACAAACTTAAAATATTAACTTTAAACTATCAACTATTAACAATTAACTATCACTATCAACTCTTAACAATTAACTATCTACACTTAGTTGATAGGTGTTCGAGTCTATCAGTTATTAACTATCAACTATTAACTATCAACTCTTAACAATTAACTATTAACAATTAACTATCTACACTTAGTTGATAGTGTTCGAGTACTATCATTTATTAACTATCAACTATTAACAGCTACCTATCAACTATTAACAATTAACTCAGTTGATTGTGTTAGAGTAAAACTATCAACTTTTAACTATAACAATTAACTATCTACTCTTAGTTGATAGTTGTTCGAGTACTATTAGTTATTAACTATTAACAATTAAGTAACTTTCACATATTAACTTTCAACTATTAAATATTAGCCAACCTTCAACATGATTCTACTATTAACTAATAATTTCAATTTTCAACTATTAACTATTAATATCTATTTCAATTATTAACTATTAACCAACTTTCAAATATTGGTGTACACCTATTAACTTTAATCAACTTACAAATATTAATTTTCAACTATTAACTATCAACTATTAACAACCCTTGTCACTTAACCGTCGTCAACCTTCCATCTCAGACATTACCGTTTTTTTACCATTTGTGGGACCGTTTTTTCAAGCCTATTGAATGACTATATTCTTTTTCTTATTGACGGGCTCTTTTGACGAACCCTTTTCTCACGACATTTGACGGACACTTTCCTCTTGCTTATTGATCGAAATCTTTCTTACCACCATTGCCAGACACATTTCACCCACTTACGGGACCCTTTTCGCTCACCATTATTTCAACCCTGCCAGACCAACCCTGCCAGATTGTTTTGACTGGTTGAAGGGATATCGTCAACATCATCCAATACAATTCTTATATTGCCTCTCATTTTTATTTAATAAGACTAAAATTTAAAAAATGAATCAACTATTAATTATTAAATATCAACTATTAACTCATCAACTGATAACCAAGATTTTCAACTTTGAATTTCAGCTATTAACTATTAATAATCAACTATTAATTTTTAACTATTAACTATTTTACTATATACTTTTTATATATTTCTTTACTATATACTATAACTTTTTTACTATATATACTACTGTTAGTTAATAATTAATAGTAAAAGAACTTTTTTACTACATATACTACAACTTTTAGTTAATAGTTAATAGTAAAAGAACTTTTTACTATATATACTACAACTGTTAGTTAATAGTTAATAGTAAAAGAACTTTTTACTATATATACTACAACTGTTAGTTAATAGTTATTAGTAAAAGAACTTTTTTACTATATATACTACACTACAACTGTTATACTACAACTGTTAGTCACTCTAGTACTCTCAACTATTTAGTGTCACACAATGTCAAACTCTAGGACTATCAACTATTTAGCATCACACTATGTCAACCTTGCTAGTACTATCAATTATAAGCTATTTAGTATCACACAATGTCAAACTCTAGTACTCTCACTATTTAGTGTCACACAATGTCAAACTCTAGGACTAACAATTATTTAGCATCACTCTATGTCAACCTTGCTAGTACTATCAATTATAAGCTATTTAGTATCACACAATGTCAAACTCAAAAACTAAAACCTAGCTATAATTATATTAAAAACAAACCTCACAAAAGTTAACCTCCGGTTGGACACTCGTTTAAATAAAATATCAGCACTGAAAACCAACGGTTTGACACTCTAGTCGTTTAAATAAAAGATTGTTTGATTATGAACCTAAAAACAATTTTTAACTAAAACAAATTTTAAAAAACAATAAAAAACAAAACAATCAAAACCAGTGCTGGGTATGGCTCCGGGAGCTAGCTCCGGAGCCCGGCTCCGGAGCCGGCTCCGGCGGAGCCGGAGCCGGAGCCGGAGCTAAGATTTTGAAAACCCCGGAGCCGGAGCTGGAGCCGGAGCCAAGAATTTCAAACCCCGGAGCCCGGAGCCGGAGCCGGAGCCAAGGTTTTCCAATTCCCCACGGCTCCGGCTATACACCCCTAAAGATGGGTTAGAGAAAAAGAAGTAAGCAAAGATGGTAGGCGAGAAAAGAAAAGGAAGAGAATCTTGAGACGGGTAAAAAAGATTTTCTTTCCTTTCTTTTGTAACGTAGTTGTGGTTGAATGGATAGTGAGTTAGGTTCCGAATTTTATCTGGTTATAGGTTCGAAAAATATTACAAAAAATGATTAAATAATTGTTTTGCTTTGGAAAATAGATTATAATAAGCATTTTTTAAATAAATAAAGCTGTATAAATTTTTTAAATTGATTAATTTTAGTCTCCTGTGAGTCAAATTTTTTAAAATTTTTGCCTGCGGCGCAAAAAAGGAAGATTTTTGGCTTAAGAATCTTCCAAAATTCACAAAATTTTTGCCTGCGACGCAAAAACCAAGTGATAATGAGAGGATAAATCCAACATATCCAACATACTCCTCTTAATCCTCTGATATCACTCGATATCCCCCTTTATCTACCCAAATCCCCCAATGAAAAATAATTAATTGATTTTCCAGCCGGAGCCCGGAGCCAACATGGAGCGGCTCCGAAAATCGCCGGCTCCGGAGCCGGAGCTGGAGCCGGAGCCAAGATTTTAAAAGGTCGGAGCCCGGAGCCGGAGCCAAGATTTTGAAAACCCGGAGCTCGGAGCCGGAGCCAAGATTTTGAAACCCCGGAGCCGGAGCCGGAGCCAACAAATGGCAAATACCCAGCACTGATCAAAACACATCTTAAATACAATTGACAAACAAAAAAATTGCCAAAAAATAAAAAAAATCAAAAATTACAGCAAAAAAAAATAAAACAAATTCTAAAAAATTCACATTCTTTCTTTACTTCTCTAAATACACACTATTTTCAATTTTGGGATATTTTGTCATTTTTAATTAAAAAAATAAACACAACGCCAATCGCAGCAAAATTCAAAGCTGCGGACAAACAAACAGACAGGAATTCTCAAATTTAATATAGGATTTTTAATAAAAACTCTAAATTTCTCCCCTTTTATATTGGATCAAAAATATTATTTGTTCCATTTTTAAGAAATATTTATCTCAAAAAATAAATCATATAATTTGAATAAAAAAACGATATAAAAAATGTTCGTGAAAAAATGTCTTTAAGCATAAAAATAAAAATAGGTATTTACTAGATAATCCCTCTCCCCTCGGATTGAAGTGATTAATGGTTGACGTACTTTACAATCAGTTCAAATGTAAAATTTCAATTTATGGCGAATATAACCAGAAAGTAAATACCAAGGGTCTTTGAAATTAAATAATAAAAACTAAAATTTCACTCAGAACCGAACAGAAGGTAAACATTTTTGTAATTCTGGACGTTCTGACATAAATTTAGCTGAAAGTTCGGAAAGCTTTTCTTCACTAAGTATAGGCAATTCTGAACAAAAATCAGATCGTCTAAATTTTGCAAGAGGCTCTTCTCCATCCGTTTGTTTGTTAGAAGAACAATTTTTGATTAAATCGCCGGAGAGTTTAAGCATTTCATTTCGAAGTTTTTCCAAAATAAGTTTATTTGGTTGGAATTGGCGAACATTTGCTTCATCTATTAAAATGAAAAATTAAAGTAAAGGCTAAATTCTTAAAAAATATTTTTTTGTTTTGATGGACAAAACAAAAAAGGATAAGATCATTTAAGCTAAATTTTATTCTCATAAAGCCAAACTTAACTCTCTATTAAGTTGAGATAATAGCCTATAAAAAATTAATTTAAATAAAAGTTATATGAGAATAATGCTCAAAAATCAACTGATAATTTCGAAAAAATTTTAAAAAATTAAAAATCAAAATATTTATCCACCTTGAATGCTTTGTAGTTTCACCACACTATCTTTATTTTTTCTAGCATCTCTGAATTTCTGTTGTGCTTCATGCCCATAAAGTTTCAAGATTGCACCCCATGTTTCAATCTATAAAAATTGTTTTCCTAAATTAAAGATTATTTAAAAAACTTCAGGATGTAATTTTTTTAACATTGCTTGAGCAGCAATTTGCTTTCCTTCTCTTTTATTTC